AAAATCAATAACTTCAATAAAATGTGTGCTTGTTGATCTGCAACAGTCACGCCTTTAACATGCTCTTTTTTTTCCATACCAATGTGAGCACCATGGAAATTACATATAAAAAATAAACTAAAAAGAGAATTTTTAGACAGACGTCTCAGGTTTATCCATCTGCTTCTCCTTCCTCTTCTTCCTGCTTGATGACTAGATTCCCTAAAATAAAAAAAGATCATTAAAAAGTGTTCAAGATGCAACTATACCTGACATTATTAAAAGCTTTTTTTTTTTTCTAATTTCTTAAATCTTGAAAATATATGTATCTACCGTATAAGCTCTTTTATATATTATTCTATGCTATTTTATATTATCATATGCTATGGAAGAATCCTGCTCTGATATTAAGTGCCTCTCAGTGTTTCTCTGCACAAAGATGGATAGCTGCATATTTTCTCCTGCACCAAAAAAGGAGTGAAACATCCCAGCTGCTCTCGTACCAGTGTGTGTCTTTATTATCACGGATGTTCCTGCTTATCTCAAGGATACATGTTCTTGTGATGTATTAGCTCTCCACTAACAAGGCAATTAGTTTTTACCTGTCATGACCAATGACGTGTGTAAATGGCAAACTGCGTATGTTACATTTCATTATTTTTGAATAAATATAGCTGCATGATCAGAGAGAGCTCCAGAAACACTTGGTGCAGCAGTGAAGAGCTGGGCGCGGGTCCAAGCTGAAGGCTGTGTGTTTCTCCCTCTGCAGCGGCGAAAAGTGATTGATCTTCTGATTATTGACTCCACTCTCTACCAATGATAGATTTCTCTCTCCATCTGCTCCGAACCTGTCTGGTCTAGAATAAAGACCAACAATCTCCAAGTCGTTTTTCCAACATTTAAAGGTGTTATTTTCTTCTTGGCCTCCAGTTTAAAAATTGTGTGAGCTGTCAAAAAGCACGTCAATAACATTTGAGGACATTTACAGAGAACATCTATTTGCTTCTCCACTAACCCTGTACATGCTTTACACGCGGGTCAGCATTCTCACCATCTAGTTTCTTCAGATTTGGAAGTTTTTTACAGGCTTTCTCCATCCAACCGCCAGCTGAAGCATTCTTTTCCTGCAGAGGATTTCCAACAAAAACCAGGTCCACCAGCTGCGGCAGCATAGCTAGCTTCGTAAACTCTGCTACGTAACATAGAAAAGACAACATCTTTCACACAGATTGCCACAATCTGAACCTAACCGACACATTATGACATAATTCAATATTTACCTACAGAATTAAAGACATTAGTATTTGGTAAAATTAAAATAATCTGTTTCAGATTTATTTGAGTTCATTAAAGTTGCATACCCCAATCTTTGACCAGATTATTAGACATGTAGAGAACCTTTAGGTTCCTCAGGTAGTGAACTCCTGAAAGTTTCTCTATCAAATTATAAGAAACCCACAACTCCACTAGCGTGTCTCCGATTGGTTCCTACAAGTACACACACATTAAAAAATCAAGCAAGGAATTCACTTTAAAAGAATCAATAAACCACCTGACCCAAATGAAGAGGGCAATAACTAAAACCTTAGGAAACTAAAAGTTGATGTTGTTTATAATATATAATTATATATTGAGGACCAACGGAACTTTAAGACAGAGAGGAAATTATCTCTGTCTGGCCCCAAAACAATTTCTTATCTGAATCTGGTGCCCTTGAGCCTGTGAGGCTGAAACGAACACTCCCTCAGAGGAAATGTGGAATGCTGCCGTCGCCATGGCAACTCTGAGCTGTGAAGGCCGCTGAATCGTTCCAGGAGTCACTGTGCTCTCTAAAACCCAACGACCTCCTCCCCCTGTCCAGACGGAGGTGGCGAGCGCTGCTTATCGCGGCTGCATGCACTGACGTGTGGAGAGCCCCAAACCCTACCACCCCACCTAGTGGACACTTATGTTGTGTAATGTCTGAAGTCTGTGTGCATTTCTGTCTGAGGTGTCTTTTGCATAGCAAAGCTGCCCTCTCTGTGGAGGGTAACTCTGAAGTGCCTTTTTTTCCTCCACCTGAACCATTTCTCATATAAACCCTCTGATCACTATTAAGATAGCACGACTCAGGTTGTGAATGACCACAGTCACCAATTCTTGTCAGTGTCTATGCCTATCTGGGCAGCAGTAGCTCAACAGGTTGAGCGGGTTGTCCAGTAATCGGAAAGTTGCAGGTTCGATCCCTACTCCGGACAGACAATTCTGCTGCTGTGTCCTTGGGCAAGACACTTAACCCACCTTGCCTGCTGGTGGTGGTCCGAGGGACCGGTGGCGCCTGTGCTCAGCAGCCTCGCCTCTGTCAGTGCGCCCCAGGGCAGCTGTGGCTACATCGTAGCTCATCACCATCAGTGTGTGAATGTGTGTGTGAATGGATGAATGACACACTGTAGTGTAAAGCACTTTGGAGTCCTTACTCTGAGAAGCGCTATACAAGTGCGGGTCATTTATGTTTGTGTGTCTGATCTCAGAACTGTGTGTACTGAAACTCTAATTTCCCTCTGGGATTAATAAAGTATCTTTGAATTGAATTGAATTAACTCACCAGGCCAGAAAATGACTTTATATTATTCCTGCCTAAGGATAATATCTTCAAGTTCTCTGAAAGGAAATAAAATTAAACCCCAGTAAACATACAGATTTGCATATAAATAATAGGCTTGTGTGTGATTTTGCACAAATGGTACCAATTCAGTCAAATACTCACTGAGACCATTGAAATTTGTCATTTTCTCAATGCAGTTTGTAGACAGAGACAGTTTCCTAAAGATGACAAAATACAAGTTTTAACAAGTAAAACAACAAATATCTTTAAATATGAGAACATAATAACATCAGTGAGCTGCAGCATCATGACAAGAACCTACTCGCAGTTAGTGAGTGTGGAAAGAGACGGATCCAGCTTCTCAATGGGAGGAATCTGACCGTAGAGTTTAATCTCTTTAGCTTCACTGGCTTTCTCTCCTGTCTTTTTTTCCTATAAACACACGAAAACACTCATTTAAAATAATTTATAACACAAACATATGAATATTACAGTCGGTGTTGTTGACTACTCACCCATCTGCTCAACGCTTCTTTCAAAGCCATTGCTCGGATCTCAGAACATCACGGGAAATTCAGTTAAAGATGAACAACAAACAATAGCAGTTCAGCTGCCAAGCTAGCAACAGCACAATGTAAACACGCAGCTTTTCTTTACTGAAACTACATTCAACTTATCTCTTTAGTTTCCCTGGATTATGCTTCACTATTCAGATGTGACGTCGTTTGGGAAAACTAAACATTCCCTGTGCTACATATTCTGAAATGAGCTTGATTTTAGCTAATTTGCTGACAAAATTGGATAACAGCAACACCGGTGATTCGTGTGACGTAATTTATGATTACACAAAAGTTAAATATTTATTTTTTTCTTACGCCGTAACATTTATTATTTTTAAAAAAAACACACAAATAACAAAGGAAATGTACAGAAACATTACTCACTATGTTGACGAGAGGTCGGTTGCACTGGTTGCTATGGCACCGAAAGGCTACAATGTGCGCATGCGCAGAATGATGTGGGTGAAGGGATTTATTTTTCTCCTTAACTCAAACTTTTAAACTGTTATTTTAGTTTTTCATATACATAAATGTTAAATACCAGCTACATACTAGAAGCTGAAGTTGCTCTAGAAAAAAGGAGCAGAAACAGACGCACACTTTGCAATTTTGGGGCAATTTTACAACCATAAACTGACAAAAATACCAGGTGGGCTAGTAATAACAATTGTAAAATAAAAAGTATAATATTCCTGACAACAGGAGAGTTAATTTTAAAAAATTTAAAGATGATGTCACAGATCAACTGAAACAAAACCTAACCAAAATATTAACACTTGTATAAATATGATGTAAAAACATCCATTAATATACATTTATAAGTTTGGCAGATAAGGCTACGTGTGTCGGTAACACAAAAAAATCAATAAAAACAATTCAACATTTGTAGAAAGTTTGTGGTCCTGTCTTTCATTTTGATGACCCCAGAACCGGTCAACACATCCTAAGCAGAGACAGGTCCTTATATTCAGGATAAAATGAGACACAATCAGAGGTTGGAGCTGTTTAGGTCAGGTCATTTAATTGGAGATTTTGTGAGCTGACGTAGTCACCAACAAGAATCGGCCTTTTTTGCATTAACAAAACATCCACATACATACATGTCTCATTTACAAAAACACACACAACAGAATACACAAACATATACAAAATGTGGTCCTCTGTCTGAGATTTGGTGACAAAAACGAGCAACAGAAGGATTTTAAAGGACATCAGACCATCCAGTGTCCTGTGTGTTGAGATTACGATGAAACCCGGGGCTGACCTGTGTCTCTCTCTTTGGGGAAACCGCTGACTGGGTTTCTACAATCAGAGGTGAAACATTACCAGACTTGGCTTCTGTGAATTATAAAATGAAAAACCAACAGACGTGAGCAGAGGTGTGAAGACATTAATGGACAAACCACCGAACCAGCACCAAGGTGTCAAAGTTCCAGCCACAAGCTCAGCGGCTGAACCGCCCTCATGTTTAAAGGAAAAATAAGATGATATTCTGAGCAGTCAGCTCGCAGAGGCGAGGGGCGCTGCCGACACAGGAAACTGATCAAGAAGCTGCCTCTAACTCATGACATGAGGCCCAAAACTGACTCTGAAAAACTCCCCCTGGGGAGAAGCTAACTATAAATAGAAAATGAATTGTTAGAGAAGAGAGTTCCTGGAGAGATCTCCTTCAGAGCACATCGCCTGTACTAAAGAAACCTGACGAGTGAGTCCCGAGAGAGCCGGTGGCCGAGCACCGATCTCTGACGGCGCTTGCCGATTCACCTCCGCCGTGAGGCGAAGGGTATAACTGACGAGTCCGTATGGTTTGCAGCACGAGTCTTCCTACAGCAATTACAGTTTAACCAGTGATGGGGACCTAGGTCGACAGGTTGTCTCCCCACAGAGTAAGGGTGTCCGTCAGGAGGAGCCAGGGGTCAAGCCCGCCATTTTGAACCGTGAGCCGAGGCAAACAACTTGTTTTGTTTTGTAAACAACCTAAAATAGCATATCAGGAGCGAGTCAACTCATTAATCCTTGAAATCATCAGCAGATATAACATTTAACTCAAGATGACCACATTTAACGTGTACAAAGTCGAATGTGTGAGAGAGGATACAGGTGTTTGTTTGTTCTCTCACACAGGAGTGCTTTTATTACCCTTCAAAATAAAATACACGTCACATAAAACAAGAACCTGATGACAAGGAGGTAAAAAAAAAGCATCATTCGCTGTCATTACAGTCCTCAAATTAGAAGTTTGTTTTTAATATAAGCTTCTATTCTCTCCAAAATCCTGCTCTTTTGTTTGTTCGGACATGCTTATCACATCAGTCCTCAAAATGAAAAAAACTAAATCTTTATCCCACACACGTCGTCCCACCTGCTACTCTACCACCCACATATTTATGTTCTCCACCGTCAGACCCTTCACCCTTCACCATAATCTGTCCTCCGCTCAGTCCCGTCATAGCTCGTCGTGGGACACAGACTCGTCTGCTTTCAGCTTGAACTCCGCCTCTGTGATCTTTCCGTCTCCATTGCGGTCCTGGTTGGAGAACATGTTGTCGATGATGCGGTAGGGATCGAAGCCGGGAGCCAGGCGGCCCTTCCCGTCGTTCACCTGCTGCATGATGTAGTCGGTAAACTGCGGCGGCGTGACAAAAGAGAAAAACGGGGTGAATTTGGGGCACACAGACAGAGGGGTTGCAGAAAGAGGAAGTGCTTGAAGTGAACACGTACCTCAGAAGGCTCCACCTGCTCGTTTTTATCTTTGTCCATCTCTGAGAAGAGATCTGGCGTTACCTCATCCTTCCAGATGAACATGTATCCCTCAGGAAGTCCTTCTTCCATATCAACCAACTCAATGTCAAACACCATCACAGCACTTCCTGGAACTTCATCGACTGCACACACAGACACACATCATCAGCAAAAGGTCCACTAAAGCCCCGCCGACTAATGTACAGAAATACTGATCATTGCTGTCTGATTTATGCACAAAAACTGGATCAAAGGTTTAACCAGAGGCCAAGAATATCGTTTTTGAACCAAATTCTAATAAATCATCTGTAAAACGTTAAAAACTTGACTTACGGACTCCCCTCTCCCCGTAGGCCAGGTGAGGGGGAATAACCAGGTGTCGTTTTTCTCCCACACACATGTCCATCAGCCCGTCCTCCATCCCCGGGACGACCTGGTTGGCTCCCAGGACGATGTTATATGTCTTTCCATAATTGTGTCTAAAAAAATAAATATATAAAAGATTTTGAACTTTATTTTACCAACTGATAAAAAATGAATCCAGACTCCAAAATGATTTGAAGGTTGAAACCAACAGAATTATTTAGAATTCCACCGATCTGTTCTGTGGGGTACCCCAAGGCTCTGTTCTGGCACCACTCCTGCTTTTCCTATACACCTCGGAAATTCTAACTTCCCAGTAGGAAAAATCAAATGAAAAAGGACGGCAAAAGGAATGAAGATACACAGTAAAGATGTTTGCTTCAGTTTCATTATCAGCTTATAAAACTACAAGGACGATGTTAAAATACAAACAGTTGAATGTTATTTATCGTGATATTTTTCAAATATTGTTATATATTGAGAAAAATATATATTTAATTATAAAAGAGAATTAAAATAATAAACACTCAAAAGTATCGAAAATTGGTACCGTTAAGTACCGGTATCGATTCCTAGGTACCGGGAATTAGTACCGGATCGATTCAAATGTCAAAGGTACCCATCCCTAGCTATACACACACCCTACTGGACAGATAATTGATTATTTTCATAATTTTACGACCTATATGCAGATGACATTCAGCTGTACTGCTCCTTTAAGGATTCTGAGGTCTATAAACTGTCTGAACTAACAGAGTGTCTATCAGCTATCAGCAGCTGGCTAGAAGATCATTTCCTTCAGTTAAACTCTGAAAAGACTGAATGTCTGATCATTGCCCCTGTGAGCATGGTTCCCTGATTAGGCTAAAACTTGGTGATTTATCTTCTGCCGTCAAGACAAAATTGAGGAATGTGGGTGTTGTTTATGACCAATCAATGTCTCTTGAAGGCCACTCCGAAACAGTTTTTATCACTTAAGAAATATCTCCAAACTACGAAGGGTGGTGTCAAAACGCAAACTTGAAATGGTTCTCCATGCCTTTATCTCCTCCCGTCTAGATTACTGTAACACACTTTTCACATGTTTTAACAAAAAAAGCCCTTGACCGCCTTCAGTTGGTCCAGAACTCTGCAGCGAGGCTCTTAACCTTCCCACCGTCCTAATGGGTGTGACCCCGCGAGGAAAGTTGACCATTGGGCAGGATTGATGGTTTATCTCTTGAGGTCCACGTGGCAGTGACCACCACCTCACCCCTGCCACGTGGACCTCAAGGGATAAACCATCAATCCTGCCCAATGGTCAGCTTTCCTCGCGGGGTCACACCCATAAAGACAGTGGGAGGGTTAACTGGAGCTGTCATGTTCCCGAGCCGAGGTGAGTGCTCCTCTTCCAATCCAACCGTCTCTGAGCTGATTACCCACAGGTGAGGAGCGGAGGGGGCTGCAGCTGCACAAGATTCCAATCAGGAACTCGGGTATAAAAGGAGGATGGAGACACCTCACTACGCCAGATGATTGCTCCAGTTGTGGTAGCCCCAGCCACTCGTACTAGTTTCTTGTTTGTTCACTTTGGAATATTTGGATTTTGAACTTGGACTGATTTTGGATTACGCTTTTGGATTGCCTTCATGTCTGGTGTTTGTTTGTCTTATCTCAGGATCTCCACACACCCTGCCTCACCCTCACCGTTTGAACTCCAGATTACCTGCACCACATCCCATCCTCCTCTGTTGTTCCTGTCTGGACCCTCTCTGCTACCTCACCTATCCCGGAGTGCTCATCCTCTGCCCAGCGCTCACCTCGGCTTCCCCGCCTCCCTCGTTCACCACGAACACTACATGGACAAGAGCTGTACAGCTCACTCCCCACTGGACTTCCCAGTGCTACTTCTGTTCCCGTTTTCCAAATAATGTACTTTTCTTTAACTCATCCAGCTTGTCGAGTTGATTCTGCTTGTCTTGGGTTAGACACTTACCTCGAGTCATGACAGGAGCAAACAGAAGAGCTCACATCACTCCTATTCTAATGCATCTGCACTGGTTACCACTGACTTTAGGATGCTGACTATAACTGGTCAGGCCCATCCCTACATGACTGAACTGTTAAACTGTTAGGCTCCAACCCGAGCCCTCAGGTTCACAAACCAAAGTCTTCTAGATGTTCCAAAGACCAGATGGGAAAGTTGAGATGATTGCTCTCCCCGAGCTAATGCAACTCGACTTTGGAATGATTCGCCTTCATTTTGACGCTGTACGCTCAGCCTGGACACCAGCAGCTGAATGTCCTGATATTTAAAACTGCTTTTACTTAAATCTTCTGTGTTTTCTTCACCTATATTATGGCCCTTTATGATTTAAATTATCTTTAATTTGTTTTATGATCTTTTGTTGTTTAGGATGATTTTATGAGTCCACTGTTTGTTTTGCTGGTCTTTGTGATTTTTCTTTGTGTGATAAGTGCTGTATAAATAAACTTCACTTACTATAAAATCTGTGCATTGTGAGCCATTTTCTTTTTAAACACCTGGTGTTTTAACCAGTTGAGCGAGTGTCATTTGATACTTCCTTCTGGAGCCCCTCCCTCCTTCCTGTGACCCTCTTGTGTACCCTCCATCTCCTTGTTTGTGAATTATTATTTTATTTGTACTGCTTTGTGAGTCAGAGCCAGGAAGATTCCTGTTTCATGGTGATGTCATTCAAAGGTGCTGGTTTGATGCAGTGTGTGTGTGTGTGTGTGTGTGTGTGTGTGTGTGTGTGTGTGTGTGTGTGTGTGTGCATGTATGCATGTATGCGTGTGTGAGTGTGTGCGTGTGCGTGTGTGTGTGTGTGCATGTATGCGTGTGTGTGTGTGTGCATGTATATATGTGTGTGTGTGTGCGCACACGCGTGCGCGTGTGTGTATGTGTGTGTGTGCATGTGTGTGTGCGCATGTGTGTGTATGTGTGTGTGTGCGCACGCACGCGTGTGTGTATGTGTGCGTGCACGTGTGTGTGTGCGCGCGCGCGTGTGTGCATGTGTGCGTGCGTGTGTGTATGTTTGTGTTTGCGCGCATGTGTGTAGGTGTGTGTGCACATGCGCGTGTGCATATGTGTGCAGGTGTGCATGTGTGCGCGCGTGTGTGTGCGCGCACGCGTGTGTGTGTGTGTGCGCGTGCGTGAGAGAGAGAGAGAGAGAGAGAGAGAGAGAGAGAGAGAGAGAGAGAGAGAGAGAGAGAGAGAGAGAGAGAGAGAGAGAGAGAGAGAGAGAGAGAGAGAGAGAGAGAGAGAGAGAGAGAGAGAGAGAGAGAGAGAGAGAGAGAGGCTTGTACTGACGTGGAGTCAACAGGAGACCCATCCATCAGCGAGGCGTTGTAGTGGTATTTGACGAAGTCGCCCTTCTTGCTTTGCTTTTCACACTCGTCCGGCTTTAGCGTGATAGTGACCTCTGTGCGGTCCGACGGGTTGTGGAAGTCGACGATGTGGATGTCAAATACGAGGACAGCTGATCCGGGAATCTTAGAGCCTAAGAGAGGAACCAACAGACCAAAAGAAGACAACTTTTATGTTTTACACTGGAAAACTTGGCAACTTTAAGCACGTATCAAACCTCACACACACCTGTGCCCTCCTCGCCATAAGCGAGATGTGGTGGGATGGTGATGGTGCGTCTCTCTCCCACACACACTCCGATCAGACCCTCGTCCATGCCGGGGATCACGTATCCCTGACCCACATATGTGTCGTACGTACGATTACGAGAATAGCTGTCAATCAAGAAACAATCAGTCTAAGAAAGGAGCAGGTTGGAAGAATTCTACCCTAACAGGTTCATGCGGCATGCAAATTCAGACTCCTGCCTAGAGGAAATGTCTGAAAAACATGGAAAAATTGTGTTGTTTGATGAATTTACTGCTTAGATTTAATCTCTGCTGCACAAGGAGGCTAAATGAAAAAAGAAGAATGAAAACAAGAACATGTGTGCAGAAAAGACTGAAGTCAAACTGATAAAAGATCACACATTCTCGCTTGATGTTTCCTGTAAGCAGGGATATGCTGCCACCATGAGGCCACTTGAGGTACATCAGGAGTTAAACTTCTACTAAAAATCATTTGAAGGTGCCACAAAATCTATTAGATCCTGAAAAAGGTTTTGTTTTCACCGGAAATACACGTTTTATGTAGCAGTGACATTTTCTTTTATTTTTATGTTTTAAATGTGAGACAAAAAGAAAATACCAAACTATTAAGTTCTAAACAAGAAGGCGACACATCTGTGTTAGAAAAGCGTGCAGAGGTAGAGCAGGGTTCTTGCACCTTGGCTGAAACCAGATTCAAGCACGTTCAAGGTAAGTTTTCAAGACTTTCCAGCACCAAACTCTTTGTTAATGAATTGCACACACTTGATCGTGTCTCATAAAAGTTAATGTTACCATGCCACTGCAGCTACAGTTTTAAGTACTTTAATTATTAGAAGTTTTTACTTAAATTCAAGCATTTTCAGGAATTTTAGGCACCCATTAGAACCTTGCAGAAGTTCTACGATTAAACTTAATACATTTTAGATATTTTAGACCCTGAGGGTAGATCTGTGCAGCCCCAAGTGCATTTATAAATTTGGTGGCTGATGTAGACTCTACATCTAGAGTGGTACTTTCTGACTTTTATGTGGAGATTTTTTTTATTAAATGCCTATTTTTTTTCCTATTTTGAGAACTAAGAATAAAAAACATAAAATAATGTTAGCATTTTTTCTGGCCTGCAAAGAGGCAATATGTAATGTTTCTACAGTGAAACAATCACAAAACAGTCTAATGCCTCTATCATGTTGGAAGGAAGTTTACATTGAAACTCATTTCCTTCTCAGCCGCATGTGGGGGGGGTACATTTTTCTGAATATTAATGGCTAAAGCGGGATGTAGTTACCGTTTACCATCTGTGAGCCCGTGAGGATGCTGAGTCAGTGCCAGCATTAGTATTCCGACACCAGCCAGCGGTCCTAAGCCAGTAACAGGAGCGACCTAGAAGTTATTTCTTTGATCTCTAAGAAGCCACGGCATCTTTGTGTTTTATTCTAATATTGGGTGAAACAGATTAGAAGCTAACATTGACCTAACAAAGCTAACGGTCAATTAGAAGCAAATAGTCCGCCAGTAGCTCAGGAGGTAGAGTGGGTTGTTCAGTAATTGGAAGGTTCCAGGTTTGATCCCGGCTCTGCCAGAGAATGCTGCTGTTGTGTCCTTGGGCAAGACACTTAACACACCTTGCCTGCAGGGGGTCAGAGGGACCGGTGGCGCCTGTGCTTGGAAAGACTCGCCTCTGTCAGTGCGCCTCAGGGCAGCTGTAGCTACATTGTAGCTCATCACCACCAGTGTGTGAATGTGTGTGTGAATGAATGAATGGTACACTGTTGTGTAAAGCACTTTGGAGTCCTCTGACTCAAAAAAGGTGCAATACAAGTGCGGGTCATTTATCACATATGTGTGTGTTAAGTGAACGATGAGTCAATTGTGGCGTTTTACTTCCTTTAATGAGTCGTTCATAACTATAGCAGCAAGACGCCAAACTCATCTAATGCTGGAGGCATAGTAATGTAACAAGTGTAGTAACATCTCCCTACCGTAAAACACCCAAGAGCGCTAGGACCATGTATTTATCTACTTATCAACTTAAAGCGAATGGCTTGTCACCTAGAATCCTCTGGTGCTGACCCAAAACTGGAAACGGCCACGATAACTCACGGAAGGAGGGTGAGAATTTTGGTTTTGAAAATGGGCTGCAGTACCCTGCTTAGACTCTATCAAAACCTGGATGGTGGGAGCTTTCTTCAGCTGAATGAAGATAAGACTGAGATCCTCATCTGTGCCCCAGACAAGCTGGTTCCCAAAGTCAGAGACTCTCTTGGTCAGCTTGCTTCTCACACCAAACCTTCTGTCAGGAATCTTGGCGTGACCTTTGACCCAGCTCTCACCCTGGATTCTCATGTCAGTTCTCTTGTTGGCTCTTCCTTCTTCCATCTCAAGAACATTGCTGAGTCCCATTCTGTCCCACTCTGAACTTGAGACAGTTCTCCACACCTTCATCTCCTCACGCTTAGACTACTGTAACTCTCTTTTCACGTGTCGGAGCAGAACCTCCCTGAACCGTCTACAGGTGGTTCAGAACGCCTGTGCTCGGCTTCTGACCAAGTCCTCCAAACACGCCCACATCACCCCGCTTCTCCTCCAGCTTCACTGGCTGCCAGTCAACTTCAGGGTTCATTTCAAGATCCTGGTTCTGGTCTATAGGGCCTTACATGGACAAGCACCATCTTACATTGGTGATCTTCTTAGTCCCTACACCCCCAGCAGGTCCCTGAGGTCCAGTGATCAAAGCCTGCTGGTTGTGCAGCACCAGGCTAAAGACCAAAGGTGACAGATCATTTGCTGCTGTGGCCCCCAGGCTCTGGACCTCTCTCCCCCTGAGCCTGAGATCAGTGGACTCAGTGGTCTCCTTTAAAAAGCAGCTGAAGACTCACTTGTTCAAGCTGGCTTTTGTATGACCTTCTTCACCTCTCTCTCTTTATTCTGCTCTCCCACCTATTCCACCTTCCTCAGGATCCACTGATTTCCCTCTTTCCTGTTCACTCTCTCTCTTTCTTAACATTTTTTCTTTTAAATCACAATTGCTTATTCTTGCTCATTTTAAATATATTTTTAAACATTTTCAAAATGCTTTTTTTCTATTTTTACAATTTTTATATTTTTTTTTTGTGAAGCGCCTCGTGATTTTTATCTTGAGAGACGCTATAGAAATGATACTTTCTTCTTCTTTCTTCTTCTTCAAATGTGACCACAGGATGTCCTTCTTACTTCATGCACATTTAAACGGGTCAATTTTAGCCCTTGTTATTAAAACTTTGGATGCCGCTGCTTTAGGTGCTTCTGCTATAACACGAAAGAAACTTGTCTTTAAATTTAGGTAAAAATATGACCTCGCACAGACTACCTTCCACTTGTATTAAAAGAAAATATTTGGATGGATGGGAAAATTGCAAAATACTTTCCTGTTGTCTGTCAAAAAGAAAAGGAGCCATTTCAGAGGTGTTGAAGAGCCACGAGTGGCTCCAGAGCCACACGTTGCAGTAAACAGTAAATACTGCGTGGTAATATTTGGATAAATACACACCTGGAATCAAAAAACGTGCCATCCAGGAGGCTCCCGTTGTAGTGATAACGCACAAAGTCTCCCGCAACCGTTTTCCTCGTGCAAGACTCGGGCACGACTTGATTCGTCACGGCGATTCCGTCTCTTGGGTTGTGAAGGTCCAAGAGCACAACGTCAAACACCAGGGACGCCTGTCCTGGGATGTCACTGCCTGAGACGGGAAGGCAGATGTGGAAAACATCCGCTTTGTTGACTTTCTGATGCAATAATTAAATCCTCTCAAATGAACAAATGCTTGAAATCTTCAGTCAATCACAAACGTGTGGAGAAACTCAGGGAAGCGTTCTCCTGAAAGACGCAACACTCACCATCTCCGTTCTCTCCGTAGCCAAGCGATGGCGGCATCGTGATGATGCGTCTCTCTCCGACGCACATTCCCAGAAGCCCCTGATCCATGCCAGCGATCAGCCAGCCGATCCCAACGTAAGTGTCGTAGGTCCTCATGCGGGTGTGGCTACAACAGGTGAAGAATAAAACGTTACAGGTGAGTTTGAGCGATTCTATCCAGCGTAAACCAGTTTACGTTTGAGCCAAACCTGGAATCAAAGAGCGTCCCGTCCAGCAGGGTGCCGTTATAGTGATAGCGGACAAAGTCCGAGACCTCCACCTTTCTGGAGCAGGTGGAAGGCTTGTGGTAGGAGTTGATTTGGACGCCATCCTCTGGGTTCCACACATCCAGCAGCAGGACATCAAAGTGGAGGATGGAGTCAGGAGGGATGATGTCACCTGCAGAGGAGATGAAAACAAAAATCACTTAGTATCTTTGATCTGACTCGTCTCAGTTTGGATCTGAAGGAACCTCTGCATGCCTTCCGGGTAAATTATCAACGTAAAGCAAATGTACGTTATGTACATAAATAAGAGCAGTCCAGCAGACGGTAAACATAAAAACATAAACAGATATTTCTAAAACACTTCAGTGAGGAAGTTTTTAATGCTTAGAAATGCAAAACAAACAATTTCAGAATGATTCTTTAGTAACTCTGGACTCTAATGTGGTCAATCCCTTTCTATCCCGTATGTTTCAGGATCGATTTGAAAAGACTTTTGACGGTTTTTAAGTGTCTTAACGGTCTTGGGCCTTCTCATCTTTCAGAACTGCTTTTACCGTGTGAACCCACGCGGTCTCTGCGCTCCTCTGGCAGCCGTCTCCTGGTCATCCCTAAAGTGAGGACACATGTTCACGGCGAGGCGTCCTTCCAGTACTACGGCCCTCGCCTCTGGAACGAGCCGCCAGGGGACCTCAGGGCCGCAGAGAACGTTCGTGTTTTCAGAAACAGGCTCAAGACCCATCTTTTTAGCTTAGCTTTTAACTGATTACCATCACTTTTTAAATAAATTAATTAATTAGGTAATTTATCTATTCATTTATTTATTTATTTTATGTATTCTTTCTTTATACGTGCTATTTTTAAACAGAGTATTTTACCATAGATTTATGATCAACATTATTTTAATATCTATATAACTTTTTATATTACAATTCTCATTTTAGCTCTCATCATTTTATATTTTAACCTTAATTTAACCTTTTTCCAGTGTTTCCTCTGTGGGAGCCCTCTGCCCCGGGGGCGGTGGTCGGCTGTGGCGGCCTGGGTGCTTTCCAGGTGTGCCTGGGTGGAGGTGGGGGTCTCTGCCCTCCCTGCCCTGGGCGCCCTGTGTCGGTGCCTCGGCTGCTGCTGTGGATCTGCTGCTGTCGGGTCGGATGGCTCCCCTGATGGCGTTTCCTTATCTTAGCAGGTCTGGATCATCTGATCTCAGTCCATCGTGTGTGCGTGTGTGCCGGAGGATGAGTGTACTGAAGAGGTTTTTTATTGTCAGACTCTTTTTAAAATTCTGGGGATGGGAGGGAATGTGGGCAAGTGGGGCCTTTTAAATTTGTTAAGCACTTTGAGTTGCATGCATTGTAGGATTAAGTGCTTATAAATAAAGTTGATTGACTGATCTAGAAATAATTTTAAAAAACTTTCCCTAGAAAAGATAATCACTCCATGAGAAAATCACTTTAGTCTACTAGATCAAAACCCGTTATTAGGACACATTTTAATGATCTCTTACGTTTACAAAGACATTGTTTATGCATGTATGAACAAGGGAAAGGTAAACAAAATTGCAGTGTAGAAAATCACTGCAAAAAGTCTGATTTCCAAAAACAATCTGTTGCAGACAGACTAGATCCTGCAGAAAATCCCGAATGTTGATGGAAAAAGGATTTAGCAGATGAAATAAACTAAACAGAAGTTATTAGTTTAGATTTGGAGCGTTGTGTTTTCACAACATCCCAGCATATAAACAAAATCAAACCGGTGAAACACAATGATGTCGTGGTTTTGGCCTGTTTGGCTCTCATAAATCCAGAAATACATCTAATTAATCTAAAGTCAGGCACACCCACAAATGGTACATGGCCTGTGTTTATATAGCACCTTTTAGGGTTCTGTAACCCCCCCAAGGCGCTTCACAACACATCAGACATTCACACGCTGGTGATGATGAGACACAAGGTAGCCACAGCTGGCCTGGAGCGCACTGACAGAGGCGAGGCCTCTGGTGCCACTGGTCTCTTCTCCAACTACCAGCAGGCAAGGTGGGTTTAAGCGTCTTGCCCAAGGACACGAGGGCAGTCACACACCGAGCGGGACTCGATCTCACAACCTCCCAGTTATGAGGCGTGTGCTCTAGTAACTTTTGAATCAATCAGTTCTTTGAATGAGTGTTTCTTATGCCGCACCTTCTGCACTGTAACTGCTCACCCTTTAACTTGTTTCTGACTCTTAAATCTGAAATAGATGTGTGTATTTTAACTGTGCTGTCACGTTATCTTAATGTTTGTGCTACTCTCACAAACGAAAAGCGCTTTAAGACATAAACTAACTAGTAGTCCGTCTTGGAGGGAATTTGAATGGAAGGTGAAGATGTGCTACGTTAAAACTCCACTTATCGTGTCTAAATATAGTCACGTTTCTAACTATGCTGGAGGAAATGCGGGTTAGTGGGAGACTTCTCACATATATTTTGGGACTGCCCAAAGATCATACCGTTCTGGGAAGGTGTCCAAAGAGAAATTAAAAGAACCTTACAGGTGGAATTACAGTTTAAGTTAAAATTGTCAAGGTCTGGGTTGTTTCTGCCATCACTCTTTGGTTTTGAGTTTCCTTCTGCAGGTGGGCGTGTCCGGAGGAGGCCAAGCTGCAGACAATCTGCTCATCGGCCGGCCAGGGAGTATTTAAGCAGCTGAGAGACACCTTCACTTTGCTGGATGATTACTCTACCTGGGTACCTTCTAACAGCCATTTCACGTTTTAGATTCGAGCTCTTAGACCTTTAGAGATTCTGATGTGTTTTTTTGAATATTGGATTTTAGCTTTTTTTACCTTCCTGCTCTTGTTCCCAGACAAACCTACACCCTCATCTCAGACTGGCAGCATTCTGGAACTCCAGCCCTGCTCATCCCTTAGTCTCTCCCTGGCCAGAACCACCTCCGGTAGCTCACCTATGCCCTCCTGGAATTACAAGTCAGCTCCCTCCACGTCTCGCTCTCTGGATCTCAGCCTCAGGGTAACCCCTTCAACCCAGACCGGACCACTCCCCCTTCGAGCGATTCCCTCTCTCCAGACTGTAAGTCCTCTACATAATTCTGATTCCTTGTTCCCACCCTCGAGTTGGACCTAACTCCTATCTGTCTGCAGATCCCGCACCGGATTCCTCTTTGAAGATCTCAGCTATGATTGTGCTGCTCCCTTGGTTTCCCTTTTAATAAATTATTTAAACCTTTTGCCCAAGTCTCCATGTTGATTCTGTGTGTCGTGGGTTGGATATTTACACCACAAAATGACAAATGGTTTGTACTGGGAATGCTGGTCAAAAACCTTGCACACAGAACTGGCACATACTTAAAGCGCAAGTCGCCCCCAAATGAACTTTTTTTTTCTGATAAACTAAATGAGTGTCTAATGTAGTAATAAGTAGCAATAACATGTAATAGTTTGGCACTTTAATGCATCTTAAAATTTTAATATTCTGCCTAAAACGGTCAGGTAAAAACTCTGCTCTACATATGATTTAAATTTACTGTCGCTATTGCTTAAGAGGTACACTGACATTAGCTGGTACATTATGATGTCACAATGCTGTTAACCTGTGTGTATTTTAGTGGCTCCAGTGGCCAGGCCACAGTATTTGATGCATTGTTCAAAAATGAACTGTGAGTGACTTGCTCTTTAATAGGAATTCAGCTCATGACTGCTAAGTACATTACAGTTTTATGGCTGGACAAAGAACCCCCAAGGGTGGCACGGTGGTAGAAAGGTCTACAAAATGGAACAAATTACTGCAAGACATCTATACATTACAAGACATGAATATACATATACAACATAACATGAAAGCTACCAGTCAGATTTTCGTAGAGCTCATTCTACTGAAACAGCTCTTCTTGGGGTCTCTAATGACCTTCTGACTCACAGTGATGCAGGGGACTGTTTTTTTTCTGGTCCTGCTGGACCTGACTGCAGCCTTTGACACTGTTGACCATCACCTGCTACTGGAGAGGCTCAGAGACTGGGTAGGCCTATCAGGATCTGCTCTGGAGTGGTTCTCCTTATCTCTCTGAGCGTTCCTTTTCTGTGGCCGTCTCCAAGTTTAGGTCCTCCACCACCTCTCTTACCCATGGTGTCCCACAAGGTTCTGTGCTGGGGCCTCTGCTCTTCCTATCTGCTTCCTCTTCAGCACATCCTGAGCTCCTTCAAAGGAATCTCCTACCATCTTTATGCAGATGACATCCAACTGTACATCTCCTTTAAGCCCCATGAGATGTCTAAGCTGCAGCTGTTACACACCTGCTTAGACTCTATCAAGACCTGGATGGTGGGAGCTTTCTTCAGCTGAATGAAGATAAGACTGAGATCTGCATCTGTGCCCCAGACAAGCTGGTTCCCAAAGTCAGAGACTCTCTTGGTCAGCTTGCTTCTCACACCAAACCTTCTGTCAGGAATCTTGGCGTGACCTTTGACCCAGCTCTCACTCTGGATTCTCATGTCAGTTCTCTTGTTCGCTCTTCCTTCTTCCATCTCAGGAACGTTGCTAAGCTGAGTCCCATTCTGTCCCGCTCTGAACTTGAGACAGTTCTCCACACCTTCATCTCCTCACGCTTAGACTACTGTAACTCTCTTTTTACGTGTCTGAGCAGAACCTCCCTGAACCGTCTACAGGTGGTTCAGAACGCCTGTGCTCGGCTTCTGACCAAGTCCTCCAAACACACCCACATCACCCCGCTTCTCCTCCAGCTTCACTGGCTGCCAGTCAACTTCAGGGTTCATTTCAAGATCCTGGTTCTGGTCTATAGGGCCTTACATGGACAAGCACCATCTTACATTTGTGATCTTCTTAGTCCCTACACCCCCAGCAGGTCCCTGAGGTCCAGTGGTCAAAGCCTGCTGGTTGTGCAGCACCAGGCTAAAGACCAAAGGTGACAGGTCATCTGCTGCTGTGGCCCCCAGACTCTGGAACTCTCTCCCCCTGAGCCTGAGATCAGTGGACTCAGTGGTCTCCTTTAAAAAGCAGCTGAAGACTCACCTGTTCAAGCTGGCTTTTGTATGACCTTCTTCACCACTCTCTCTTTATTCTGCTCTCCCACCTATTCCACCTTCCTCAGCATACACTGATTTCCCTCTTTCCTATTCAATCTCTTTCTTTATATTTTTTAATCACAATTGCCTATTTTTTGCTCATTTTCAATATATTTTTAAACATTTTCTAAATTATTTTTTATATTTTTACATTTTTTGTTTTTGTGAAGTGCCTCGTGATTTTTATTTTGAGAGGTCCTATAGAAATGATATTTTCTTCTTCTTCTTCAAGACTACGACTGAGACTAGGGAAATGTGCAAAACTTTGGGAACCAATAAAACAAATATTAGAAAGTACTCTCATGTAAAAAATAAATTGTTTTAATTACATTTTTTTAACCAAAGTAGAAAGCAGTAGAGAGCAGATAGGAAGAATCCAGAGAAAGCTTGTGAGAATTATGTACGTACTGGATTGGGGGTTTATTTAAAGAGCAAGTCACCCCCTACCAGAGTATTACTCCACTCCCACTTCCTGTTTGAAAAATGCAACAAATGTTGTTGCATAACAGACTGGGAGGACGGAGATGCTAACAAACACACACACACACACAGGCTCACAATGACATTGTGACATCATATGGTACCAGCTAACGTTCTAGGGTACCTCTTAGCCAATAGGGATGGCAGATTCAAATTCAAATGCAGTGCAGAGTTTTTACCTGACGACGGCACAACACTGACAGTTTTAGGCAGAAAATTTAAATTTTAACTAAAATGCACTAAAGTGCAAAACTATTGACTACACGTGTCTGCAGCACGATTAGACATGCATTTATATATTTTATCAGAAAAAAAGTTGATTTGGGGGTGACTTGCTCTTTAAGTTGGATATATGAGTGTAAATACAAGGTCTTTCTCATGTGGATATATGGAAATAAGGTGTTTGTTCAGGGATTCGCTGCTCTGGTGAAGTGGAAGAAGAAAATCAAATGTATCTCCATGTAAATGTGGTAATTCAAAAATTAAAAGTAAAACAAGAAAGAAAAGCACTTTAAATTGCCTCTATGTATGAATGTGCTATACGAATAAAGCTGCCTTGCCTTAACTCCTCTGTCACCGCTGTCGGTGTTTGGGCTCAAATTTAAAATTTAAACAGACAACGTGTCGTTTTTATCATTAACTTCTGGAAATATCCATCAAAATGTTGCTGAAAATGAATTAAATGATTCCCAGTTCTTGAAAAATATTGGCGGCTTTGTAACATACAAACGTAAAAAATCAGGTCTAAAATACATGGTCTCTGGGCGACACCATATTAGATGCCATGTTTCCTTCTACGGGAGCCCATGAGGACAAAATGCATTTGTTGATTTGTAACAAATGGCTACAAAACTTTCCTCATTCTTAAATGTTGTTTTACACGTTTACCTCTTCACTTGTTGTCAGTGATGAAAGGGAGTCTGATGTGCTTGTGTTTTTTGCTAAAGTTTACACTTCCCAGGACTTTTTGACCCTAATGGGCATCCGTTGGTAAGGTCTTACTCCAACACAAAAATACTGCTTGCTTGCGACGATTTAGGTTTCTACTGCCCCCTATCGCCAGGAAAAATACACACTGTCCCTTTAATAGGAGTTCTGGTTAGAGGATAATGGTTGTTGTCACAGGAAGCAGAATAACTTCTGAACAGTTTTGTTAAAAACTTTTAGTTAGATTTGTCTGAATTTCTATAAACTGTGTAAAAACATGTTATAAGGAGGAGGCTCTAGATTCTGGTAGAGGCCATTAAATGTTCTACTACTGGTGAGTTAGCAGCTTTTCATCTCTTTCCTGTCCTCTTTTATCTCCTGCGATCCTATAAGTGAAGACAACTGGGGGGAGGCACCGTCTCGGGTTTTACGTGCCCAAACATGCCCCCCTTTTACCCCTGAGTTATCAAAGTGGTTCATGCGCAAACAAACAGCCGTCCTTACGTGTACACAGAAGAGAAACTGCATGGAAACACTGGATTCTGAACTGTGTTCCTGATGTGTTTATAAACATACACAGGGCTGATCTACATCCGACACACTGGTCTGGGAAGCCTCTCTGACATCATCCTGTGTTGGGATTTGGGAGCAGCCCACTTCCTCTTTACTTCAACACAATTTCTTTAAAGAATGGCAGATTCTCATCCTGGGCTCTCAATCAGAGGACACATATGAGGTTAAAGCACATCCGATAACACGTACCATATCCTCGTTTCCCATAGGCAAGTTGAGGAGGGATCTTGACCAGGCTTCTCTGGTTGACACACATTCCCACCAGAGCCTTGTCCATCCCTTCGATCAGCTGCTTCTTGCCGACAAACACATTGTAGGTGCTCCCTCGATCATAGCTGACACAAGAACGTTGTAATAAGTTATGACAGGAATGAATGTTCAAAACTTTCATGCAAAAGTGGAAAAAGTGTTCACTTTCTTCATTTCTAATCAGATCAAACTAGTGTGAAGCAAATATTATTTTCTTTAATGATTTAGGATTGTTTCATGTTCCTAAAGACATTTTTATTTATAATTTTGAATAACATTACTTTAAAAAAACGATCAGAGGTCAAATGAGCTCATAGCTCAATTGAGTCTGTTTCTAATTTGCATGTTATTTGAATTACCAAAAAAAAAGAAAAGCCATTTGATTTGAGTCTTGAAGATCTGGTTTACTTTCCTGGTGTTGACCAGTCGAACATGTCGTCCAGAAAGCTCACAATTAAAAATAATCTCTAAATGTTGATAATGTGGTGTTTTTATGTGAGGATCTCTCGGAAATCCCTTAAAAGATTGTTTTAATGAAACGTTTTGAAGTTTTTGGATTAACCAGCACTAGCTCACTCTGCCTGCGTGGCTCCTAAGAGGACGAACCAAGACGCGCACTTTTACGCATCACGCACGCGGATTCTCGCGAAGCTGCACAGATTTGTGCGCATTTGCACATATGCACTACTAGTGAGTGTCTTACCTCGAATCAAACGTTTTGCCGTCCGGAAACATTCCAATGTAGTGATACCTGACGAAGTCCCCGACTTTGACTGGGCGCACGCACTGCTCCGGCACGAAAGTCTTTTCAATGATGATGTCGTCTAACGGTACCGGAGGAGCGTTGCAGGCGGCGAACGTCACCAGGAGCGACAAAGTCAACATCTCCGGCACGCACTTGAACATTTTACCGTTTAATGAAGTCCCAGAGCGATAAATAAGTAGCGATGGTAAAGGACTGTTACTACCTACTCCCCTGGTGACTTGTTTCCTCTAATCCAACTTTGGGAAAGAAAAAAAGGGTCCTGCCCCTCATCCCGATGACGTATTAGTCAAGCTAGCATAAAACAAAAGCACATCCTGTTACGTTTACGCCGTAAATTTACTTTAAAATCCACTTTTTAAATAATACATTTAAATATTTTAAGATAAAACCTATTATTTTACATGTGAACTGTTAAAAACTCTAACGAGATTTTGTTTTTCTTGCAAAACGGCGCTTTTATTTTTAAAATGTAACAAAAACTTCCTGTGTTTTGCTAGTCTGTTTATGCTAACTTGATGCGCGTGCGATTGAATGGGCTAGTTTTGGAACCACGTATTGCGCTTGCGCAGTGCAGCTTCCCAAGACACGTCAACGTGGTGGTAACGTGGGGTCTTTGCACAAACACACCCTATAACCTGTAGCCACATGAATAGATATATAATCTATCTCACCACACTACTTAGCTTCATGAGATGTATGCAATAAATTTGGATTCATTTGGGATTTAGTCATAAATGTTGTGTTTTGGGTGAAACTCGCGCCTTTAGAGGGCAAACTGTGCAGGAATGTTCCTACGTGGCAGTGGGAGTGGGAGGGACAGTCTCACCAGGGGTTTAATTAACAGGTTAAGCCCAGTTCAAAGTGCATAAAACAGCTGGATTCAAGAAACAATGTGTTTGGGTTTATGCATATGTAGTACATGCAATAGATATTGCCACGCTACAGCACCGTGTTAAAGATTAAAATGAGTCATTTTAGTATTAAGAGTTGTTTTGAGGATTTTTCAGAGAAGAGGTATGTTGATTCAGAGGGAGGAGCTCCAGCAGCCCCCTTTTCCACTGCGACGCTGCGCCCGAGGAGGGATCGGCCTCTACCCGGATACGTGGTGGAACTTGGCATCATTCTCTGCCTCCATCACTTTTTTTCTTTTAAAAATGGCACCCTCCACTTACTCTTCTCACGTCGTCTCTTTATGTTTGATCGTGTTTTTTCTCCTCTCGGCGGTGAACTCGCAGTATGAGAAGTACAGCTTCAGGAGTTTCCCCAGACACGAGCTGATGCCTCTGGAGTCCGCCTACAAGTACGCGCTGGACCAGTACACCGGAGAGAAGTGGCCGGAGACGGTGGAGTACATGGAGGTGTCTCTGCGCCTCTACCGGCTGCTGCGGGACAGCGAGGCCTTCTGCAACCTGAACTGCAGCTCCGTGCGGCTGGACGATGAGGAGAAGTTTGCGGAGTTTCCGGAGTTGCGGGCGTTTGGGAACGTGATTAAGAGGGCGCAGTGCCTGAAACGCTGCAAGCAGGGGCTGCCCGCTTTCAGACAGACCATGCCCAGCAGGGACACCTTAGACGAGTTTGAGAGGAGGGAGCCCTACAGATACCTCCAGTATGCATACTTCAAAGTAAGAAGTCAAATATGTTCATGAGTCACCCAAAGTCAAAGCAAACGGGTTTTTAATGATTTATTTACAAAATGGATTAACTAATTCAAAAGTTGGTTTGCAAACAAACATTTTAAGAAGATTTTTTATTAAATTATCAAAAAGTCAGGGGCAGTCCTAGGGGAGGGTCCAGGGTGGGCCAGTGCTACCCTGGTAGAAAGCTCAGACCAGCTGCATGTACAGTGATCCCTCGTTTATCGCGGTAGATGCGTTCCAGACTTGTTCGCGATAGATGAAAATCCGCGAAGTAGGGACACCATATTTACAGTATTTATTCAACAGGTACGTATTCAGTATTCAGACTTTTAAAACCCTCCCTTTACATAGTACTGTTAACAAACCACCCTTTAATGTACAGAACACTTAATCTAAAACAGGCACTAATATTAAAATGTTAGAATATTAAAGTATATAAAAAGATAAAGATTGTTACTGTACTCACCATGAAAGAAGTTAAAATTTTTTACTTGTTTTTTTTATAGTTTTATTACAAAAAGTGCATTTTATGATGAAATTGATGAAAAAACAGGAATTTCTTGATATTTCGCATAGAAAAATACCACGAATCGGCGAATTTCCCTTGAATAAGGCTCCAAAGAAAAAATCCGCGAAGTCGTGAATCTGAGATAAACGAACCGCGAAGTAGCGAGGGATCACTGTAACGCTTTCGTATCCGAAACACTCCTGGTGGGAAGGGATGCGCTGCTGAGCTTGTGAAACGCGTCGTCAAAACTTACGTAAGCATTAAGAAGTACTAGAAATGGAATGAACCTAAATAAAGATGTCTATAGAGTAAAATATATATGAGTCAATTAAACAATAGTTTTAAAGAAAAATCAATTAGTTGTCTTATCACCACGAAAGAGGCAGGTTTTATCAGAGAAATGTGTGTTATTTTATTGAGCCTTGTCAAAATATTATTGATTGGAATATTCATGTAAGGATATAGTTTTGTTAATTTCACTGAGATCATGCTTTTATTCTGACATCACTGCGTGTAAAAACGATGTGCTGTTTTTGTTGTGTCTCAGTCTAACAACTTGGCGAAGGCAGTGTCCGCTGCACACACCTTCCTGCTCAAACATCCAGATGATGACATGATGCAGAGGAATATGGCCTATTACAAGAGTCTACCTGGAGCAGAAGATCACCTCAAAGACCTGGAGACTAAATCCTATGAGGTACACAAACACACATGGACAAAGGCACAGTGACTTCTCAATATGTGCATTTAGCATAGAGAGACTTATTTTTTATATATTTTAAAGTGATTAAAACATCCTTTTCACTGTGTGCTTCTGTCCAATTACAATAACATACATCCTCTTAAATCCCAGCTTTTATTCATTAGTTAGATTTTGTAAACTATTAAGTTATTTCCAGGATTTGGTGCTAAGATAAATTTTAAAGATAAAACCCAAAGAAATTGTGGTAAAATAATCTGAAATTGAGGTTTAAATCAATTCTATCACAGCATGAGCAAATACCAAGACCAGAGTTTTCTGACCTTTTTCTTGGGGATGTTTCTATTAGGGCTGGGCAATAAATCGAAAATTTATCGTTATCGAAATTTCTGACTCTTATCGAGACAATTTTTCTCGTGTCAATAAATTTGATGATAAACAAAGAAAGAAAAGATGTGTGTAGGTGGGCAGCGTTCGTGTCCCTTTAAGAGGCTGTACCACCTTGGGTGTTTCTCAGTGTCAAGGCGCCTGGCCTCGTGAGGCGATGTCTTGCGAGGTCAGGCGCCTCGCTTACGAGGGGACACTGTCCTTCCTTGGTCAAAGAAAACTGTTAAATGGAACAGACTTGTATCACGTGACCGCGGCTTCCACGGCGGTATTAGTTTCAATATAAATATATAATGAGACTTTTACTTTTTAAATTGTGTATATGTTAATTAAATTAAAAATATAAGTGAGTTACCACCCGCTAGCCACCGAAGCTGCAAATACTAAGCAACTAACCAATCATACATAACTTCTTTGGATCTAAAAAAAACATTTTAAATTAGTTGACTTACCTTTAAACTTGAAAATTGTCCCTGAAGTAGCTGCCAGCTTCTGATCCGCCGTCCTTTTGATAATACCGCAGTGTATTGTGGGTAATTTTTGACCAAGGCTAGGCTACAAGACACCTTCCATTTATCCTCGCTCAGCTAGCTAAACGGCTAACAAACGGAGAACACACGCCTCGGTAGAACATGAACATTGGAACACGTCTTGGCGGCTCCCGATGACGTATATCCTAGGCAACCGGGGCGGGGCCAAGACATCAAGGCGAGGTTCCTTGGCATTGAGAAACACCCCTTGAGTCACGTAGAAATGTGACTCTACGTAATACGTGACAGCCCCACCTAGTGGACAACTTTTGTTTCTGTGCATACCCGTAGTTATCGTCCATTTATCGTTAATGAGGTGAAATCCTCAATATATCATAGGGCTGGGCGACATGGCCTCAAATCAACATCATGATATATTGAGGATTTCACCTCAGCTTCTTCAGTCAGCCACATAGTTTAGTAACCCTTTTTCCACTCTTTTAGCTCAGAAGCAACCCCTCAGCATAAATGATCCAGGATAGGGATGTACCGATGGGAAAATTCAAACCAATCTCAATATCCGATATTAATACTGCTGTTATTCCCTGATAACTGATATTTACTGATATTCCATTCAATATAAATATTTTTCTACACTTTCTACTCCGTGTCAAAGCAACCAAAACATCTACGTTGCTTCTCTGCTAAACACCATCACAATCCCACGCAGCATCTTTGGGCCAATTTTCACCATCAGAACTTTACCGCACCTTTTCAGCATGCACATGTCTCCGTTTCTCCAGGCCGTTTCTATGAGACATTTCATTGGCCGACCGAGAACCTGAAAAGGAGTATATAGTGGTAATATGCCCGATAGTTGCTGGGTAGAACTTGGGATCAACTCATGCTAATTGGTTGTTACAGTGGCAAATTAAATCTGACGACATCGCCAAACAAGCAGGATTTGTAAAATTGGAAAAGTTGCTGGTGAAGAAGAACGGAAGGAAAATAAAATAAACTGCGTTCACGCTTCTTTAAAATTAACATTTCAAAACTCCTAATGGTTTTTCATGGATAAACGTAGCTTCTTTGCTGCCCTTCTTGGCACAAGGCCATTTTCAAACGTCTTCTTCTCAGATGTTCATGGGCTTGCTGATGACCCTGTGCTTCCTGAAGCCTCCTTCACCCGTTAAAATTGTTTTTCATTTGCAGACCTTGTTTGTGCGTGCAGTGAGGGCGTACAACGGCGAGAACTTCCGTACCTCGGTGTCAGACATGGAACTGGCTCTGAGGGACTACTTCAAGATCTATGATGAGTGTCTGGCCGCGTCTGAAGGCCCGAGGAACGTCAACGACTTTAAAGACTTCTACCCCTCGATAGCTGGTCAGTTCTAACTGGAAACAAATGTGCTAATTCCTTAAATGTTGTTTTTATGTTGTGTCTTGCGTTTTATTTAGACCACTACATTCAGGTCCTTGAGAGGAAGGTGGGGTGTGAAACTGACCTCACACCTGTTGTCGGGGGTTTTGTGGTTGAGAAGTTCGTGGCTACCATGTACCACTACCTACAGTTTGCTTATTATAAATGTGAGTAACATCCAGTTTTATCGGCGTTTCCTTATTTGGAGTGAACATCTCTGAATTTAGCTGTTCTTCTTTCTAGTGAACGACCTGAAGAATGCAGTGCCGTGTGCTGCCAGCTACATGCTGTTTGATCCCAAAGACGAGGTCATGAAGAACAACGTTGCCTATTACAAGTATCACATGAAGCAGTGGGGGCTGACAGAGGAGGACTTCCTCCCAAGATCAGTAAGTAGCACCGCGTCCCATCTTAATTTAAAGGTGCAATAAGTAAGAGCTCTACAGTGCAATAATCTCAAAACAGTCTGTCTCAATCATGTTAGAAAAAAGATTATGCTGAAACAGAATTTCCTTCTCAGCCGGCTGGAGGGTTGTCAGGTTTTCTCCTTCCAAAAAAGAAAAATGAAAGAGGGACGTAGCCACCGTTTACATTCGGTGAGTTGGCCCCATCTGCGTTGAGCTAACGCTGGAGATTCAGCATTTGTAGATCAACACCGGCAGGCAAAAAGCTCCAGAGTTGTTTTAAAAACTGAAGACAGTAAACAGGAGTGACCCAGAAGTTATTTCTTGTACCCCGAATGAGCCACGACATATTTTTGTTTTACTCTGATATCACGTAAAGAAGGCTAGAGGCTAATGTTGAGCTAACGATGCTAATGATGAATTAGAAGCAAATAGTCAGCTCAAAAACCGTCTTCTACCCCTATGTCCTGCATTAGCTTTTGATAGAAAACAGACGGTGAAACTCTAGGATTAGAAAATCCTGACAGATCTACGTCACCCTGTCACTTAACATTCATGGACTCACCCTTGTTGATTCCCGACGGGGGAGGCTGTTGTTGGTTTAACGTCCAGGAAACAGCAGAGAAAGTCTCAGCTAGCAGAAGCTAACTATTAGCATTAGCAACCCCAAAACAAGGCAGAACTCTTTCAGACTTGTTATTTGTGGAGATAAAACATCAACGTTCCAGAGCAAACCGAGTCAGTGGTAGAGTTGCGTTGTTGTTAGCCAGTCAGAGGTGAGATGTCCAAATATCAGGAAATAACACTCAAAATCCTGCCGTCTGAAGCTACGTCTCAAACTGGCGCAGCAGAGCTCTTTCTCACCAGAGAACAACTTACAAGGCATTAATTCCTACTAGAGACCACTGCAAATGTATTAAAATGTGAGTAATGTTGACTTTTAAATTGTAAATATCATTCAGAAATGAATATCTTATAGTAAATCGGGTGTAAATGTCAGGGTTGTGAGAATGTTAGGACCCAAATATGCAGATACCCAGGTGACAAGAGGCAGAAGGAGGTTCAAAGTAAAAAATCATTTTATTTTAGGATAAAGAGCAAAAAGTAATCCGAGGCAGCGAGCCAAAGTCCAAAAAGTCCTGGGGAACAGGAACACCCAAAGCTCTTCTTAGAGCACAAAAAAAACCTGGAGACAAAAGTTCATACAGAGCGTGAGCAATGCTGACAACATGCAACAATGAACCGACACCAGACACAGACAAGACAGAGCTTATATACACAGGGAGAAGTGATTAGGGAAAATGGCGGCAGGTGTGTGGAGTGAGAGCTGGAGGGAAGACAGGTGAACCTAATAATCAAAATGGGCAAACAGAAACAGAGGAGGGCCAAATAAACCTAAAAAACTCTAAAACACAAAACTGAACCTAAAGGCTGCGGTAAGGATTAACACACACACACACCATCACACACACACAAATGCACTAATATAACCAGGAATGGGGAATGGACACACACACACACACACACACACACACACACACACACACACACACACACACACACACACACACACACACACACACACACACACAAAATGAACTGGGTGATGGACACACACCCACACACAGCTGGGGACAAAGAGGCTGGAGCTGCAACTTGGGGCACAGAGGATAACTAAATGAACACTGGACCTGAGGGGATGATAAAAAGGTCTACAAACAGAAGACACCATATAGAGATGCAGACATGACACATGAGGGCGCTAGAGGACAACAAAAGGAGCACCTAGAGAACAAATGGAGGACAAAAGGAGACACATGAGATGAGACGCCGACACAGACCATGACAGTAAATTTATTGTTATTTAGTTGTTTTGCTCTCATTTGAGTCTATTAATGTGTTTTTGTTTGAGTTTCAGGGCAAAATCTGGATATATTAGTATTTTCAGCCATGTTTAACCACTGTGGCTTTTAAAATCTAAATATATTCTCAAGAAGTTGTGTGTGTGTGTGTGTGTGTGTGTGTGTGTGTGTGTGTGTGTGTGTGTGTGTGTGTGTGTGTGTGTGTGTGTGTGTGTGTGTGTGTGTGTGTGTGCGTGTGCGCGCACACTCCAGGAGGCAGTGCGGTACTACAATCAGACCACCATGCAGCTACAGATGTTTGAGTTCTCCAAGCAGCGCCTGGCGAGCGATGATGAGGTTTGTGAGTGCTGCGTTATTCTGCATTTAAAAATAGAAATAAGTAAAACAAGTACGTCACTTATCACCATAAATGTGTTCACTTCTCATGAAAGCTGCTTACAGTTTGCATCTAGAAGGTCAATTTGTGCAAAACCTGTGGGAAAATCTTGGGATTAGTCAGTCTGATCACGACATACACTCCGCAGCACAGCATGCTCTGTGCACATCAGGCTGCTGTATCACCAGCAGACATGCGAGGGCAGCAGGAGTCAGCGTTTACTGCACGATAGTCGGCTTCATCAGGCCAAAGCTGCGTAAGCCAGGATTACGTGTTGTATATGCTAAATGGATCTCTGCTCCAGGCTTTAATCTCGTTAATAATGCTGGATATGAGGAAATCACTGATAACTGTGTCAGAGGGGGATTTCTGATTCAAACAAAAACAGACCTTTTGGACTTTTTATCTTCACAGGGGGACGTGGTGGAGTTTATAGACGAGTTCCTGGATGAGGATGAATAGGAAAACACTGAAAATGACTAAACTATCCAACCATTTGTATTTATTAGGATTTCAACGATCTTTGGATCTCAGAGTTTGGCTTCTTCACCTGCAGCTTTTTTTAATGAGGCTCTTTATTTTGATTCTTGCAGTTTTTGTTTATCTGAACAGCTCAAAGTTTTAATGAACTCATTTTTTCTACTGTGAATCATGTCGTTTATGAAATATTTGCAATAAAAGAGATTGAGAAAAAAACTTTTTTATGCAAAACAATTGGGATTTTTTCCCCCACAAATTTTAATGGCATCATCCAATAAAAGTTAGGAAACACTGAATGCGATGGATTATTTTTTTCCCAAACTTCAATAATTTTGCTTTTATTGAGGAAAAATCACAAACATTATTTTATGAGAAAATTTTTGTTTTCTACACAAAGACAAAAAACTGAGTGAAAGACGATAGGAGAATGTGAGTGAAAGAATTCGGATAGAAAAATGTTTGAACATTGAGTCTCTGTGCAGTTTGTCACATGATGGTGTTAAAAAAAACCTCACTGGAGAAGATTGTCCCCCTCAGCATTTCTCCTCTCCTTGTTGCTGACTTCATGTCTTCATCAATGTTTTAAAAATGAAAAGACGAGTTAAACAGTAAAAAATCTCAAGAAAAAGGCAAAAAGCAGCTTTTAAACGTTTATTGAATCTTAGAAAACACATTTATTAGTTTTTATTTCTTTATTTCAGCACATCACTGGTCGGCATAAATAAAACAAAACTGGGGTCTCATTTATCAAACATTGCGTAGAATCCTTACTAAAACCGTACTTAAGCTCAGCAAAAAAATGTACTTACGCCAAGTAGTTTTGTGATCTATCAAACATGGAGTACGCACAGCTGCACGCAATCTCCGCTTCATAAATCGGAGACTATCTAGAAAGGTTCTCAGCTGCATTTTAGTCACATCCCGCCCTCACCACGCCCACTTACTGCCATAAATAGCCAATGCAAAGTGCCTTGTGGATCTCATGCATATACATAAGCCGGATGTTGCAGCGCTCCACCAATGACATGGCGACCGTAGATCAAGGTAGATCAAGGAAGATCAATTTCACAGAAGCAGAAATTGAGGTACCTGTGGGTGAGGTGGAGAAATGAAAGGAAGTGCTTTTGCAAAACAAATAAGAGAAAATCCACGGAGTGGCACAGCGTTGCTGAAGCCGTCAATGCTGTGAGTTCTTCTGAGAGATCTGTGGCGGATAAAAAAGAATGGTCCAATCAGGATTTGATCCCCAGACTCCCAGGTGAAAACCACGTGCGCTAACTGGTCAGCCAAACAAGAGATCTCCACTGTCCAAGTAACCAGGGCGGATGATCAATCGGGTCACAGTGACCACTGTCACAGACGCATGAGATTCTGTCTCAGTCTGTCACCCTGCTGATATTCGGCATTCCATACTCTACGCTTCAGGCGTTGTGTGCGCACATGTGTGTGAGTGTGCGCACATGTGTGTGTGTTTGCATGTGCGTGTGTGTGGGGGGTCTTGCTCTGTGTGAAAACGAAGCAGTACAAGTGATAATGCTGCAGGATTTCATAATTTTATCTTCTAAGCAGCAGCACTGCAGGTGCTCTCCATGTCCAACATGTGCGTTATCCAGGTCCTTAGTCAACTTAAAGTTGCAAACATTTTTCCGCTAAGTTTTCTTTCATAAATCCCAAAGTTTGCGTGGAAAGTTGCTTACAAAAATACTTTAGTAATCCCAGAGGGAAATTGATTATGCAGTTTTCTGAACCTGTTTTGTGCGTAAGCAAGCTTGATAAATGAGGCCCCTGGTATTTTAGCTGAAAATGGACCAATTAATAATAAAAAAAGACCTGTTACCTTTTTAAGATGATTAAAGAGAAAGTCACCCCCAAATAAACTTTTATTTTTGCTGATAAACTAAATAAACGAGTGTCTAATCGTGCTGCAGACTCGTGTCGTCAATAATTTGGCACTTCAGTGCATCTTAGTTAAAATTTACATATTCTGCCTAAAACTGGCAGTGTTGTGCCGTTGTCAGGTAAAAACTGCACTGTATTTTAATTTAAATCTGCCACCGCTATTGGCTAAGAGGTATGCTATGATGTAAACTGGTACATTATGATGTCACAATGCTGTCGTGAGCCTGTGTGTGTGTATTTCTTAGCAGCTCCGCCCTCTCGGTCTGCCAGGCAACAGAATGTGTTGCGTTTTTCAAACATGAAGTGGGAGTGGAGTTAGACTGGTAGGGGGTGACTTGCTCTTTAATGACACACAGATACAGTATGTAAAAAGTTGACTGTATGTTGTTAATAAATATTTCTGTGTCGCTGGAATTATTTCTTACATAAAAACACAATAATTAAAAATGTATTTATAATTTTGTGGTATACCTCAAAACATTAAAGTGAATCATATGAAAGGAAATTCAGCTGTGGTGCTTTCACTGACCAGGTGAAAAATGGAATTTATCAGTGTCAGATTAAAACAAACTTGAGCACATTTGATGCCTGTCTGGAAATTGCCTGGAAATTGATAAAATATTTATAGTTTTCTGATTTAAACTTGAAATAACAGTAATATGTAGCATATATTTACGTGTGTAAAAGCAAGAGCTAACAATGGAAACAACATTGACTTTTCTAACGTTTTTGATCTAAAAATGGCTATTAACAGTGATTAGTAATAAGTAGTTATTTCTCTAATAACTATAATAATAGGCTCTGATAGTAGGATTGAAACTCTTCTAGGCATTTGGGTTTATTTACATTTATTACAGAGTTCAAAATGTAAGAATAGAAAAATAAAAGACAAATACCACAGAATCAAACTAGAACAAAGAAGAAAATCAGATTTAAGTAGAGCATTTAAGTGACTTTTAGTTCTAGGTAAAATATCACACAATCACTAATATTTATGAAAGGTTTTAGGAGAAAATCAAATTGTTTTATGTTAATGACCAAAGAAATATGAGATAACATTTTTTTTTTTTGTGATTTAAAGCAAAGCATCAATTTTTGGGCTTTTTTCTTCCGCAAGTAATAAAATTTTCTTAAATGATTATTAAAAATAAAACCTCCCTTTTTTCACCATTGTATGAACCCTGAAAACCCTTTTTCTCAATCTAATTTCAAGGCTTTAGGCCAACATGAACAAACCTTAGTGGACTTTTCAAACTGGTTCTGCTCCAAACACAAAAAAGGATCATCAGCATAAAAACGAGTAATGTTTGATCCCACAGACACGGGATTATAGTTGGGTAAAAACAAAATATGACCATATTAGGAATTTTTGCTTGCATATGTGTCACCAAAGCCAATAAAAACTTACATTCAGGTGCAAAATGTAACATTTGGTATTTAAATGCTTATCTGGCATTTAGTCACCTTTTAATTGCTGGTTGAAAACTCGATTATAGAACCCTAAGCACCACACCTATTAGTATTTGCATGTAAAATCTCTTTATTACGTATATTTATGACACCAGAGTTCTGTTTGCCCTCTAAAAAAAAGTAAATTTCACTGAAATTGTCAGGCACGAATGTCACAAATCTAGAAAAAACTATAAGCTTGTTATTTCTCTGGTACCATGGCAACACTATGTCTAACGTATTCTTGACTTGTTGGGCTCACTTCTGTCTAACCAGGAGTCTGTTAAACGTTATTAGTCTCATCTAGTTAAGGCAACACAGAAACCAAGATGTCCAAGACCCTTCAGAGTTTCAGTCTCTTTTCAAAGTAGGTCTTGTGTTGCTGGGATTTGTTTCCAGTTTCTGGGACTAAAGCTCATTGGTGTGTCCAGCTAAATGTGGAGACAGTTTAAACCGAAGGTCAGGGACAAGAGAGGGACAGCAGGTTTAGGGATTTGTTGTCCTCTGGTTTCACGTGATTTTCAGTAACAAGTCTTCGTGTGTCACAGTATTTTTGTGGACTCTACCACGTGGAGCTGTAACAAGTCCATATTCATCCGTAATCCTCCCTCCATGTGGAAGTGTCCAACAAGATGTGACGACGTGACATCCCTCACATCTTCATCTGACTGTCTCTGTCCTTCATCGCTGACCTCATCACACCTTCTGCTGCATCTCTATCTGCTGTCCTGGTCTAGTTTGAGCTGGGCCCTTCTCGTTCATCTCATATATCGAACTCTTCTGCTGTTGCCGCCGGTAACACCACACCCCGAAGATGACTGCCATGGCAACGGCACACATCACCACGATTATGGCCGCCACAGTGGGACCTCGACTGGCTGATTTCGGCGGGTGGGGGGGACAGTGTTCTCCCACGCACATGGCCTCCCCCATCTCTCCTTCCACCTCGCCCATCTCACCGGGCAGGTTATGCACAGCGTGTTCCCCCATCGCGCCGGTGAAGATGTCGCTGTTGTGCGCTGGAGGAGCCGGGCCGTGATCGAGGAACGGGTGCTCGGTGAGTTCGTCCAGCCAGGAGTGGGTGGGGGCTACCTGTTGGGTGTCGTAGTCCAAGGTGTCTGAGTATGAGGGAGAGTCTGAATGCTCTAACTGGTCGTGAGAGGTGCCTGGGGTCCTGATCCCTGGTCTCACCTTCTTCACCACCTCTTGGTCAGGTGCCATAGTGGGAGAATAAACCTTGTCTGATGAGCTGGTGTGAGGAACTTGTCTTCGGACTTCCACCTCGTTGGGTTTTTCTGTTGTCTTACCATCCTCTGATCTTGGAGGCTTTTTTGTTGAATCACTAATTTCCGCATCTTGAACAGGGTACCCATCCAGCCATGTCTGACCTTTGGTGGTCTTACCTCCTGTCCCCCTCTGGGTGATGTTTGGCCACCCCTCCTTGGCTATAGAAAAGATTGCATGCATGGGACCATCATCGTCTTCGTGACTATCAAAGTCATCATAGCTGTCATCGTATTTGTCTTTCAGATCATCGTGGGTATCACGATGGTCATCATCATCGTGGTCGTCATCTTCTGGATGTTCCTCAGATACATCGACATCTTCTCCATTTTTGTTCCTTTGATCCTCTGTTTCATCATCACGATCTTCGTGACTGTGGTGTTCATCGTGTGCATTGTCTTGATCGTCATACTCCCGTGTGCCATAGTGAACACGATCTTTGTCTTCTTCATGCTCGCCCATGTCATGATGGTCATCGTGATCATCACGATCTTTGTGACGATCCCGTCTATCGAAATCATGAGGCTGACCTTTGTGCTTCAAAAGGTCATCGTCTTCTTGGCGACTATCAACATCACCTGGATCATCAGTATGATGGTCATCATGGTCGTCGAGATCATCTTGGTCGTCGTGGTCATCATGGTCGTCGTGGTCATGCTGGTCTTCAGGATCATCCCGGTCGTTGTGGTCATCAGGGTCGTCCTGGTCCTCATCATGGCGACTGTCGTCATGATCCTCAAATCTGTCTTGCCCATCATCACGATCATCAACATCAAGTTGGGGTGAGAGGCGGTGCCTTTCCAGGCTCTCGTTTTCTTTGCTCTCCTGGGATTGGGAGCCAGAGACTCTTTGTGTTGTTTGTGTAACAGAGTCTGTGGAGAAGGAAAGTCCCTTCTCCTGGAAGGCTTCAGAGGGGAACCAGAAAAGATGTTTTTGGGAGAGAAGTGAGACAGGCTCCTCTGTAGTTGCGGCTGCATCAGTCCCAACCACCTTGCTCCTCTCCTTCTCCTCGTTATTAACTTGGTCAACACCTCCTTGAAACAGTCTTTTGTTATCGATCACCATTCCTCCCATTTCATGTTCCTTCTGCAGGTCTTGATTCTCCTCCACGCTGAACCTGAATCTTGTCTCTTGCTCCTTCAGGCTGCTCTTTCCGTCTTGTGGCGCACCTCCGAACACCTCCTCGTACAACTCATCATGATCCTTCTCTGAGCTTTCATGGCTACGATCCGTATGTTCGTAGGAATCTTCAAATTTGTCCTCGTAGTCTACTTGGCTAACAGTATCATCTGAAGATATAGAGAAGAAATGATCTTTAAATCTTGTGAACCTTCAAATTTAGAGGTGAAGTATTTTACACCCCCACAAATTTCTTGTTTTTGCTTTTATTGTCACTTAAATGTCTCGGATCAGCAAATAAATAGCAATGTCACACCAAAATATCAAAAAGAGGTCCTTAACCTTAACCAAGTGAGGCCTCCAGGGCTTTAGATGTTCTGGGTTCTTGAATCCCTTAAGAACATGGCATGGTGTGTTGCTTTGAGATTTTTGAGTCTTCTCTGGTATGTTTATACATTTTTATCAGTTTACAGATTTTTAAATATATTAAAATCAAAATTCATGTCATCAATTATCATTCAACAAATATTTATTGTTTCCTTTATTGGACCTAAATCATTTCATAAGCCCGCATATTTATCCTGAGACAGTTAAGAAACCACGACTTCAGAATAGACACACTATGAGCCTGACCGCACAGGCCTGGTCTTCTGCCTCAGTCAACATGGCCGCCTTATGGCATGTCTCACTGAGGTGTCAGCTTCATCTGAACTCACAAGTGTAAGTCTGTGCTCCTCAAGCTTCTCGTGCTTTTCACCTTTGATGCAGATCTGCACCGCTCCGTACCACTCCCCACAGCTGTCACACAGCAGGCTGAAGGCAGCGTGTCCAGTTGGCATCACATAACCGGGCACGCACTTGTACAGCAGCTCGTCTCCCATCTCAGAGCCAGACTGCTCCTGTAGATGAGCGTTGGGAAAGGATGGAGGGTCTCCACATGCCTCCGCTGACAAAAAGAAAACGCATTTAACAGGATTAAAAGTTAGATTTGATCTTGTTTGCTTTTTCAGTGACCCAGAGACAGAAACAGATCTTATGCATGTTTATTTGTTCAAATATGATAGCTAGACTGTGATCGAAGGGGTTCTGGTGCATCACGTTTAACTTCACAGCTCCCATCTACACCCATTAAAAAAGTAAATGAGAAATTATCATTTGTCCTAAATAACTTACAAAGAAGATATAATAAGATGTGTTGCATGAAATCCACCCGAAGAACTGAGTACATTTAAAAAGGTTCAAATTATACAGATGTTTAAATAAAAAAGTATCACCACAATCTTAGGCCTAGTCCACACGTAGCCGGGTTTTTTTAAAAACGAATATCCGCCCCTCCAAAAAGAAAAAGATTTCTTTACTAACGGAGATAAGATCTTGAGGGATAAAGCTGAGGTGGTAAATGAACTTAATTCATTTTTTGTAAACATAGGACCAAGTTTGGCCAAATCTCTGGAAACACAAACTAATGAAGCTGGAAAAATACAAAGAGGGAGCAAAATTTTACAGTCTATGTTTTTAGGGGATGTAAGTGAAAATGAAGTTTTGACGATAGTTAGGAAAAGTAAAAATAAAACATCCACAGACTGTGACGGGATTGACATGATGATTGTAAAGAAAACTATTGATTATGTTGTCAAACCATTCACTTATATCTGTAATTTGTCTGTTCAGAGTGGTACATTTCCAGAAAAAATGAAAACTGCAAAAGTAATTCCAATTTTTAAAAATGGTGATAGACATAAGTTTGATAATTATAGACCAATCTCAGTGCTTTCTCAGTTTTCTAAAGTGCTTGAGAAATGGTTTGTTCAGAAACTAGATAACTTTATTGAGAAGGAAAACCTCCTGAGTGAGAGTCAGTATGGGTTTCGATCACATAAATCTACATCCCTGGCTTTATTGGAATTAAATGAAGAACTTTCATCAGCAATAGAAAAAAAACAATATACAGTGGGGTTGTTTATTGATTTAAAAAAGGCATTTGACACAATAGATCATAGTATTTTACTCTCCAAGCTGAGGGATTATGGGATACGTGGAATCGCCCATGACTGGTTAAGTAGTTATTTGACCAATAGAAATCAATTTGTACAGTTAGATGATGAAATTTCAGATTCACTAGAGATTACACACGGTGTCCCACAGGGGTCAGTGTTGGGCCCTAAGCTTTTCATTCTATATATCAATGACATTTGTGATGTGTCCAAAGTATTACAGTTCATATTGTTTGCTGATGACACGAATATATTTTGTTCTGGAAATGATTTAGAAATTATTATTCAAAATATGGTTTGTGAAATGTCTAAACTTAAGAAGTGGTTTAATGACAATAAATTATTTCTCAATTGGAATAAAACAAAATTCATGGTTTTTGGTAACAGAAAAACTAATGATTTAGTTACATTGTCTATTGATGGTTTTTTAATTGATAGAGTAAATGAAGTCAGATTCTTAGGGGTTCTCTTGGACCATAAACTTACTTGGAAATCCCATATAAAATATATAAAACAAAAAATATCCAAAAGTATTGGAATTTTAAACAAAGTCAAAGGTTTTCTAGAAATTACAACGCTTCAGACATTATATTACTCATTTATCTTCCCATACTTAACTTATTGTATTGAGGTTTGGGGCAATACATATAAAACAAACACTAATCCTTTGTTTCTGTTACAGAAGAAAGTTCTGCGAATTCTACATAAAGCAAATCCAAGAGAACATACTAACAAATATTTTGTTCTATCTAAAATTATGAAATTCAAAGACTTGGTTAACTTGAAAATTTTACTAATTATGTTTAAGGCTAGAAATAATTTGCTGCCAACTAATCTACAAAGGTTCTTTGTTTTAATCCCAAAAAATGATAAGAGTAGAAAGAAACCAGAGTTTAAAAGGATATTTGTTCGTACTACATTAAAGCAAATGTGTATTTCAATATATGGTGTGACATTATGGAATAACCTGGATGATGAATTAAAAAAATGTGCAACTACTTATCAATTCAAAAAAATGTATAAAGATAAAATGTTAAAATCGTATGATTTGTTAAGTTGAGGATGGAGGATTAATGTTTTAGTAGTGATATTATTTGTGGAAGTAAGAGAGCGGTTTATTTTTTGTGTATAAGGCTATTTTGTACTTTTTGTTATTTATCTTGTCTTAGTTAAAGGGGGTAGGTCATATAAGATTTTTTTCTTCTTCCTCCCCCTATTTCACTTGAATGCTTAAATTCTGATTTGAAGTTTGTATATTTAAACTTTGAGTGAAATAAAGAATTGAATTGAATTGAATTGAATTGAATTGAATTTGTTTGGCAGGACTGAAAGATTACCAACACGAGGAGGTCGGGAACGTCTTCTGTCTCCTGAACAGGAAACTGAAATCATGAACATGGTCCTAGAAAACAATGCCATGGCATTACGGCAAATACAAAGAAAAATAATAGAAAACAACATGTTTCTAAATATTGATAGGGTCAGCCTATCAACACTGGACCGTGTCTTGCGCAGAGATCATCTCAGGATGAAGCAGGTCTACAGGGCGCCATTAGAACGAAACTCAGAAAGAGGCAAAGAATTGCGACATATCTATGTGCAAGTGAGTCCCGCAACTGATGCACACACTCAACACTGTGTACAGTAAATTATACATATTTTAATATTGTAATCATTGTGCTTCACATTAGTGACCACTCCATGTATTTGTGTGTTCAGAGTGTAAAAACAATATTCTGAAATATTTCACAACACGTATGTCTATACTTCTGTAGTAAGTGTAACACTGAAACATAAAAGGCTTAAGTCATTATGGTGAATGGAGAAGACGTGTTTTCCATTCATCGTAGTGTTTTACATTGAGAACATAAGTGTTCGCTGGATCTTATAAATGTCTATTCATATGATTGTGTGTCATTTGAAAACGTTGTGAGGAGAGAAAACATTGTTTTGAATGTGAAGTTTCATTTTGCAGGTTAATTGAGGGGTTTTGCCCATTGTGTGTGTTTTTTTGGATTTGTGTGTAGACTTCTGAGAATATGAGGCATGCTTTCAGAAAATGTGTGTAAACAATTGAGAAAAACTGTCATCATCATCATAACCATCATTTACCATCATCATCATCATCGTCACACACAAATGACTAAACCCTGACATCCCTTTGCAAAACAACTCTGCCATCAGATCTCGTAACATGTTCACAAAATGAAACGCGTGTTTTCATTTGGTAAACACAGCCACACTTTCACATCACACACACAGACACACACACACACACAGAATAAATACAAGCAGCTTTTGGCTGAACACTACCAAGCATGGAAAGAACACTGAAGAGCAAAACTAAAAACACAATTAGAGAAATGGAACACACTGAATCTATTACAATGCCCACTTCTCTCACAGACAAACATTAGACATCACACACACTTTGAAACAAAACATTTTGTTTTTAAACCTCCCACCACCACCACCCCTCTCCCATTCAAGCATCATCATGGGGCATCATGCCTCCGGTCTCTGTCTGGCCAGAGGGCCTCGTCAACATCACAGGCGATGTCCTCCTCTTTCTCCTCCTCCTCTTCCCCATCCTCCTCTTTCTCCTCCTCCTCCTCTTCTCCATCCTCCTCCTCCCATACGTACCCCTCTCCCGCTCTATTGTCTCTGTTCTCCATTGCTCATCAAACAGAACCGAGCGTCAAGCCTCCTTTTATGCCGCAGTCCCTGATTGCAAATTGCTCACCAGACGCAAAAGTTTAGAGATTTGAATATTTGTGTGTTGTTGATAGAAGCTTTGAGAATTTATGTGAGAAGTGTGTGTAAACCTGAAAATTGTGTCTGCTGCGTTTTGACAGCAAGGTAACGTGAAATTGACATCAGAGTGTAAAGGAGGAAAATCAGAGTTCTAATATAAGGAAATCTTAAGTAGTGATAAACTGAGTCAAGCGACTGGGAACAGAAGTAGAGGTTGTGAAAACTGTGCCTCATTTTTGCTTTTTGGTTTTAGCAATAAAAAAACTGTAAAACAAAAACAATAAAACCCACTTCACCTATAATTTATAACAATAATATTAATACAGTTTCATTGTTCTTCATCTTGGTCTTGGCGACTTTACTGACCTTTGTCTTTGATGCAGAAGGCTCTCAGGTGTGCAGCATCTTCTGTAGCGTTTTCTACCCTCACCTTCACCGTTTTCAGTGAGCTGCCTTCAGCATTACACACCGTGGTCCTAAACGGACAGAATATCACATAGATTCATGCATGGAACAGGACACAGACGCTACAGAGCGCTCTGTTCTCACTGTCTGCTCATTCAAACGCTGTTCGAACATGATAATGTGGTCCGATCACAGCTCAGACATTCCTCAGTAACACCTGGAACAGGAAACGAGGGATGTTAGCTTGAAGGAAACAGGACTTTGAACGCTGCACGGCTAAAAAACAATCGTTTGTCATCCAAAAACCAAGTCAAACTTTCCATGTGACATCCTGTTCCCATAGAAACCACTTGATGCATTTAAGCTATATTTCTGAGAAGGATCACTTGAAGAAGGTAAATCTGGATGTAATCAGTGACTCTGGATCTGTTTCAGTTTGTAACGGCGAAAGATTTGTCCGGGTGAGGAGCCTTCTCTCAGATTTATTAGTTTCTGCATGACTTGCGAAAGCGTGACGGGGGAGACACTACGGTGGGAGGGGCAACCTGAGAGGTGCTTGTTTTACGAGACACCCCAAGAACCTGCGTCATGTTAACACAGATCCTTTGCTGTTACTCTTGGAGCTGAATGCTAAAATATTGGGACCCAATAATATCTGAAATTACACTGCAAAAACTGATTTCTGAAAGAGTAAAAAAAGTCAAATTTTTAGACATTTTCTTATTTTTGATACTAAAAAAAACAATAATTCTCTCGAAGATAAATGCCTAAAAATTTGACTATTTTACTTCTTAGAAATCAGTTTTTGCAGTGTAATTCCTGCATTTCTCTCAAAGACTTAGTGGTTCCTGGAATATCGAGTCCCCGAAGATGCACTTTCTGTCATTGTCTCATTCTTTTGATCATTTTGTTGAAAGTTTTATTCCTTGTTTTGACTCCAGCTGTTTCTACGTTTATAAAACCACTCCAGCCATGACAGTGCTAGCTATTAGCTTATCAATCCCAGAGGACAGAAAGCAAAGGCTTTACACAAATCCCTGTTCCAGTTGAAAATCAGTGGCGGTTTTACCATCAGGCACAGGTCGGCGGCCGCCTGGGGCCCCCTTATGTTGGGGGGCCCCCTAGCCCTGACTGTTGGCACCCCTCTGTTAATGCCACAATTGACTATTCCTTTGAGAAGTCCGATGCACAAACAGGAAGTGATTGGTAGTCATTCCACTCCAATCCAGTTGGTGGCAGTAATGCACCAAATTGTTGTTTACCAAGTGCCACAAGACCACAAATAAGAAGAAGAAGAGAAAGCAGAAAAAGAAGAAGAGAGGCGGGAGCGTTCGTAACAAACTCGAAGCGGTAGTGAAAAATGAAGCATGAAATGGAGTTATCCTAGTGGCTCCAATAAGAGAAAGAAACTGCATGCTTAAAAAAGCTTTCATCTTCACTTCCGAAAGTGACGTCATTTTTCTATGTAAACATCAAAAGGAAGCAGAAAAAGAAAGACAATGGAAAATGTTTCAAGTGAGAAAAACAGACCAAAATAGAAAATGGAAGAAAACAAAAGAAAGGCAAAAGCACAGGAGCACTGACAGGAAGAAGAAAGCAGAGCAAATATTGAAAACACTCAACGGGAGAGAAAGACAGGAAAAAAGAGGAGGGCTAATAAAAAGTGAAAATAACTCGTGTCAGAAGAGGGTGGAGTTTTGCAAATCCAATTAAAGATAAGACTGTCGAAAATTTAGTGTAAGGGGGCCCATATCTGTGTTTGCCTTCGGCTCCCAAATTGCTAAATCCGCCACTGCTGAAAAGTCATCATCTTGGCTGGAACTGGATCAAAATTTAGATGCTAGACCAAACTAACTGAAGATCCTTCTTTAATGACCAGTAAAATAGTTAATTATCTACCTGACTTCCTCCACAGCTAAATCAAATGTGTCCCTGTCTCTGTGGTTGATGAAAGCAGTGTGTCACATCGCCGTGGAGATGAGGCGCGTAAATAACACCCCAGCTCTGAATTCCCTCATCCTCCAAGAGAATACAGAAGAGTTTTTCACTGTCTCTTCCTCCCCAAACCCTCATCAAGTGTGTCAGCTTTGTATCCGTACCGCACTTGTTAAAACTTGCCGCCACTTCCTTTCATCCATTCTCAGAAGCTCCATCAGAGCATGCACACAACGTGGCATCTCCAGAAATCTCAAGACCCTCTGCTCATTATTTAAAAACAAATATTCCTTTTCTCACCCCACTGCGCCTCCATGGAGCCACCCACGGGTGCACTCGGAGAAGAAGCACTCGGCCACGGCGTGATGGAGCTCCTCCACTGCTGCCAGGCGGGCGTGTTGGGAGGAACACGCTTGCTGAGCATCTCTGAAGCCATGAAGTCCAGACAAATTCCTCTGGTCCAACACAAACACTCGACCTGCACAGAGAGCAGAGAAAAAAAATGACCTTTCTTGGCTGTAAACATCACTTCTCAAGCGTTATTTGTCAGAAGTGAGAAAAATGTATGTTAAGAATTTTGTTCATGAAGGACATTTTCAGAGAATAAAAATTTTGATGGCAAAGGAGGAATAAAAACAAGTATATTTAAGTAATATTTAAAGACTACTATATCAGAAAAGGCTACTTTCATTAAGAATTGGAGCAAATTATTCAGCAATACTTTTTACTGTAGCTGCTTGAAAAATGTTTAAAATAAAAAAATATTATATTTCTGACAAATTTTTATTACATTAAAAAATATATTATTTTAGGCTTTATTTTTATTACAATAAAAACGATATGATATCAATAGTGTAAATTATATATATTCAATAATAATAATGACAAGTAATAATGTTTAATTTTGTATTTTAACTTTTCTTTACATTTTTATAATTATTTGTAGTGTAGTAGATTTTTTTTGTCCAGGCAAAATCAGTTCAGGATTCATTTAAAGAAACTAAAATGATTAAGTGTCTGACCTGGGGTCAAACGTTTAAGGAATTATTACACACATAAAATATTTTCAAAAGTTTGTGGAGACAAAGCTCAGGCGCAAACGAGTCATTTATTCAATAAAACCTGAGAATTTTTGAAATTTTTGAAGTTTTTAGTTTTTTTTTATTAAGTGTGTTCCTGTATTTATCTAATAAGCAAGACTATTTTTTCCCAGAATAAAACCCCAGAAATTAGTGGGAAAAGGACCATAAAACGCACGAGGTGCCAAATTGTTTTGCGCACCTCCGCAGGTGCGATATCAGACGGTTTGCGCACACACTGAAAAAATGGAAGCGCTCTGTTTGTTCAAGTCCTTTTATGTAGTTTCTACATGTAGAGGTCATTTAATGTAGTTTCTACATGTAGAAGTCATTTAATGTAGTTTCTACATGTAGAAGTCGTTTAATGTAGTTTCTACATGTAGAAGTCCTTTTACGTAGTTTCAACATGTAGAAGTCATTTTACATAGTTTCAACATGTAGAAGTCATTTTACGTAGTTTCTACATGTAGAGGTCCTTTTACGTAGTTTCTACAAGTAGAAGCCATTTTACGTAGTTTCTACATGCAGAAGTCATTTTACATAGTTTCAACATGTAGAAGTCATTTTACATTGTTTCTACATGTAGAAGTTATTTTATGTAGTTTCTACATGTAGAGGTCCTTTTACGTAATTTCTACATGTAGAAGTGCTTTTACATAGTTTCTATATGTAGAAGTCCTTCCACGTAGTTTCAACGTGTCGAGGTCCTTTTACGTAGTTTCTACATGCAGAAGTCCCTTTACGCTGTTTCTACATGTAGAAGTCATTTTATGTAGTTTCTACATGCAGAAGTCCTTTTACATAGTTTCTACATGTAGAAGTCATTTTACGTAGTTTCTACATGTAGAAGTCATTTTACATAGTTTCTACATGCAGAAGTCCTTTTACGTAGTTTTCACATGTAGAAGATCTTTTACGTAGTTTCTACATGTAGAAGTCGTTTAATGTAGTTTCTACATGTAGAAGTCCTTTTACGTAGTTTCAACATGTAGAAGTCATTTTACATAGTTTCTACATGTAGAAGTCATTTTACGTAGTTTCTACATGTAGAGGTCCTTTTACGTAGTTTCTACAAGTAGAAGCCATTTTACGTAGTTTCTACATGCAGAAGTCATTTTACGTAGTTTCAACATGTAGAAGTCATTTTATGTAGTTTCTACATGTAGAGGTCCTTTTACGTAATTTCTACAAGTAGAAGCCATTTTACGTAGTTTCTACATGCAGAAGTCATTTTACGTAGTTTCTACATGCAGAAGTCATTTTACGTAGTTTCAACATGTAGAAGTCATTTTATGTAGTTTCTACATGTAGAGGTCCTTTTATGTAGTTTCTACAAGTAGAAGCCATTTTACGTAGTTTCTACATGCAGAAGTCATTTTACGTAGTTTCAACATGTAGAAGTCATTTTACATCGTTTCTACATGTAGAAGTCATTTTATGTAGTTTCTACATGTAGAGGTCCTTTTACGTAATTTCTACATGTAGAAGTGCTTTTACGTAGTTTCTATATGTAGAAGTCCTTCCACGTAGTTTCAACGTGTCGAGGTCCTTTTACGCAGTTTCTACATGTAGAAGTCATTTTATGTAGTTTCTACATGCAGAAGTCCTTTTACATAGTTTCTACATGTAGAGGTCCTTTTACGTAATTTCTACATGTAGAAGTCATTTTATGTAGTTTCTACATGCAGAAGTCCTTTTACATAGTTTCTACATGTAGAGGTCATTTTACGTAGTTTCTACATGTAGAAGTCATTTTACGTAGTTTCTACATGTAGAAGTCATTTTACATCGTTTCTACATGTAGAAGTCATTTTATGTAGTTTCTACATGTAGAGGTCCTTTTACGTAATTTCTACATGTAGAAGTCATTTTATGTAGTTTCTACATGCAGAAGTCCTTTTACATAGTTTCTACATGTAGAGGTCATTTTACGTAGTTTCTACATGTAGAAGTCATTTTACATAGTTTCTACATGCAGAAGTCCTTTTACGTAGTTTTCACATGTAGAAGATCTTTTACGTAGTTTCTACATGTTGAAGTCCATTTACGTAGTTTCAACAAGTAGAAGTCCTTTTACGTACTTTCTACATGTATAAGTCATTTTACGTAGTTTCTACGTGTAGAAGTCCTTTTACGTAGTTTCTACGTGAAGAAGTCCTTTTATGGAGTTTCTACATGTAGAAGTCCTTTTACGTACTTTCTACATGTATAAGTCATTTTACGTAGTTTCTACGTGTAGAAGTCCTTTTACGTAGTTTCTACGTGAAGAAGTCCTTTTATGGAGTTTCTACATGTAGAAACTCCATAAAAGGACTAAGTAACTTGAACAAACTGAGCTCTTCCAGTTTTTTCAGTGTATCAAAATCAGATAAAAGTCATAAATAAGTCCCAGAGTAGCGCTTTTTCAGATGTTTTTTTACTAACAACTTCAAAGTGTTTACTCACCATCTGCACTCACCGCTGGGGTCACAAGGAGACACGCCAGGATTGCAAAAAGCAAAGATTGGACAGTTTCTTTCCAATAATTATGCATCTTTGTCCCGTCTTCTATTGTTTTTGTTTTCAAATTAAAAAACTTCCAAATGTCCTACAAGTCTCTGCTGCTTGTTCTCTCTGTGCCTCTGTCACGGAGGCAATCTGAGGAGGATGCTGTAGGAGAAATAAAAAAGAATAGAAAGGAAAACGGAGCAAGGAGGCGCAGCTTCTCTTCCCCAAATAGGCGCAATGACAAGCAGATGATGCACTTGTGTGAAAACTCGCATGTTCCCGTGAGTAAATACGTCACGGGGCAAAATCTTCAGAGTGGGTAGAAGGTGTCGGCTGGAGCGAGAAGGTGAGATGACCTCCAGAAGAAGTGGAGGAGTAGGAGGAGGTGGAGGAGGTCACTTCCATATTTGTGCAACCTTAAAAACTCTTTTTGTTTGCAGTAAAAAAAATATTTAATGCACCTAAAATTTTTAAAGAACCAAATTAACTACTTTTAGACAAAAGTTCTAAACAAAATGTGAAGCAGAGGGAAAGAGCTGAAGCGCTCAGGTTGAATGAGAATATTTAATCTGTGCTAATTGGTTCTAATGATTAAAAATAAATGAATAAATATAAAGGATAATAAATGTTTCATTTTGAAAAATGTTTTCATTGTTATACATGTTTTATAATGTTTTAATTTTCTGTTAAAGGAGAGAAATAATACTTGTTTTTAGTAAATTCTAATAGTCAATAGCAAACATGTTCATGAAGGTCTTTGCACTAAATCCCTCTAACATGAAGTGAGTTTTGGCTGTTTTAATCTTGACAGTTTTGGTACCTTCCAGAATGAGTCATTTCAAGGCTCTGTCACTTTAAGAAACAAGCTGGAGCTGGCCACGCCCACCTATTCCTTGACTGGCTGCCATAAGCTGAAAGCTCCTCCAGCAGCAGAGGCTCTTCTCCAGATGAGAGGTGGTTTGATGGAAATTTCCCCGTTTGTGACATCACAAACAGGGACTCTTGGAAACAGACTGTTTAAGGCTCATAATTCCTGAAACTGTACGCTGACAGAAAACAAATATATGGGTTTTTTCATGTTTGGAATGTTTGTGGAAGCAGTAGAGGCCCACATGGCAGTGTAAAAGCATGAGTTTAGCATTATGTGTCCCTTTTAAAAAAAATCTTACAAGACTTTCATTGCTTGCATTTTTTCAGACAGTCAATATGTTTTCCTCTATTTGTCGCTTATCTGGACCCGTTTTGAGAGTCGTGAAGAGCTGGTGCCTACCTCCATCATTCATCGGGGGGAGGCATGAGACATCCTGGACAGATCTCCAGTCCATCACAGGGACACACAAAGTTGTACAACCATTCACACTCACCTCTGATGTGCATGTTTTTGCTCCGGAGGAACCCGGATTATTGTAGAAAACCCGGACACGCACGGGGAGAACATCCTAACTCCACTCAGTGCAACTGATTTGAACCTTTGACTTCCTCACTGTGACGCAACAGTGCTACCAAATGCACCACCATGCAGCTCCATCTTTATTTGTACATGAAGTATACAATATATTATTTTTTATGTATGAAAAAATAAAATTAAATAACTAAATTAATAAAAATTAAAAATGTTTTTAACAAATTTCCTGCTATCTGAATTATAATTATTGTTATTATTATTATTAAATTGTAGTTGTATACATAATCCTTTAACGGATTTGGAAGCTGGCTGCTATTTAGCTAAGTGGTGTCTATGTACATGTCCTCATAAATACATGTGTGCTTTTTTATTGCTTATAAATAAAAAAAATGAAAAGTTCTTGAATATTTTTTCAGTGCATGACTGACTGACTCATTTAATATGAAGTGAAAGAGTTTCATAGGTTTTCAGATAATTGTACAGGATTAAAAATATTTGTTTAAATAAACACTTTTTTTAAATTAAAGACAGTTTTAGGTCAAATTGTGCATAAAAACATGAACAGCTTTCATCACTGAGACTGATTTAATCATTTCCTGCTCATATCAGAGAAGAGAGATGATTTAGGTTTTTTCTTTAGGATTATCACTCATTCTTTAAATTCACACGTTGTTGTTTCCTTCCGTTTCACATCTTGTCTTTTCCATTCTCATCGTTTTCCGTGTTTCTGTTTCCTTCTCCGTAAATTTTCTCTCGCCAACCACCCTGACACCAACTCGTGCTTTCATGGAAGTCCACTTCACCGGTTTGGATGAGGCAATCAGGTGGGCCGGGATCCTGACTCAGGCTGCCTGGGGGTTATTTTTGGAAAAGTGGGAGCTGGAAAGCAGCGGCGAAAAGGAGAGAGACAGCAATTCACACCTGATCTCCCTCAGAGAAGATGGTGAAAATGATGCTTGCTGCAGGTGTCCAAGGAAGGTCGTTGGTGGTGGGGAATCTGTCAGGAGACAAACACACATTCAGACATCACACGGGTGTGTCATAATCTCACAGGAGTTCCAGAAGACGCTTTTTAGCAGTCCTGCATGGTGAACACGTACACTCAAGTGCTACTAGTCATTACATACGACTTCCTGTGTGAGACACGTCCTGCTGAGGACGCGGTGTACGACTGACTCAGAGGAAATCATCGGTTGTGATGCTGGAGGTCACAAAGAGACATGGTGTTGTCTCCATGGCAACCGCCTCCCAAAATAACAAAAGAAACAGTTCCGGACAAACAGAAACGTACAGCTGAACTGTCGGATGTGAGCGATGGGTTCTCACATGAAGCCATGATCTCTGTTTTAAGTAAAGTAAGGAGTTGTTTACCTCAAAAAACCTACATGGGGATTATGTCTGCTCTTAAGGAAACAGAAAACCGATTCACAGGAGATAAACGAAGCAACGGTCAAGGAGAAATTAAATAAAAACACGTACATTTAAGTCCCGTAAAAGTATCGCCATCGTATTTATTTTTGATATCTGAATTGCTTTGAGAAATGATGTTCTAGATTCTAGGCTAATCCATCTCCTTCTATAAGAGAAGATTTCACAGTAAAAATTCCAGGTAACACGTTATCTTTAGTGGTTGAAGGTCACAATAATAGCTTACTGCCTATGTGTATATACATGTACCTTGTTATTATTTTTCTTTAAATTATTCTCTTAAGTGTCGGTGCTGCTGTGAGTGTCCCCACAGTGGTATCAGTAAAGTCTATTCTATTCTGTTCTATTTTCTACTTTCAAGGAATGCACTGTAAAAAATAATTGAGTTATAAAGGTTGGTTTATGCTTGACGCGTCCGCACGGCTCCGCGCGGAAAAGTTGCGTCATTTTAACAACCACGCCCCTCCACCGCGCCTCCGCACGGCCCAGAATTTCCGCAACGCGCACCTCGGAAAATTTCTAACCACGCGGACGGACAGACGCGGAAAAACATGGCGGACCGGCAAGAACTAGTATGGCAGAGGTTCGTAAATACAGACATTTGTATGATTCAGCTCTCAGAGATCACCGTGATCAACATGTTGTAAATAATTCTTGGAGAGAAATAGCTCGCACTGTCGGAAAAGACGAGAACACTGTTAAAAATGCTGAAATGCCATGTTGTAAACAGTAATTTCTACATCTACTATGGTGTAGTGTTGGGTGCATGCCGTAGAGCTCCATGCTGCCCCCTACAGTTTGGGAGAATGTTGGCTCACCGCAGAGACGAGCCGCACGAAGCATAAACGCTGCGAGTTGTGAAGCGCGTTCCATCCGCGAGCCGCATCACCGCGCGGAAAGTGAATGCGTCAAGCATAAACCAAGCTTAACGCTGGCAGAGGTCGCAGAAATTGAACCAAAAATGCAGTCATGGTGTGAACTGTTCAAAAAAATCCCAGTAAAAGTCCATCAACTGAAGTTGCTGAAATTCAACAGCAGAATTACAGATAAAGCATTTTCTTAGTTCAAGGTGTGCACTGTTAAAAATGTTCACAATAAACCACTTCTTCTTCCTAAAATCCCACTGTAAAATCATGGGCAACACATTTTCTTCTTTTAAAGTAAAAATTTTACAATAAAACGCAAACAGATAAAGTTGCTGAAATGTAATCGTAAAATTACGGGTAATGTATTTTCTTTTTCACGGTATACAATTATTAAAAAAAATTACGGTAAAACATCGGAATCCAAGGTCACCTAAATTCAATCATAAAATCATGGGTAATAAATTTTCTTTTTCACGGTTGACGCTGTTAAAAAAAATTCCAGAAAAAACATTGGCAGCTGAAATTGCCGAAATTGAACAGTAAAATTATTTAATGGAACACACTGTCATAGAAATATCCGATAAAACGTTAACCTTAAAATGAGAGGTAGTACACAGGAAATTCACATATTTTTACAATCCAAACTACTTTAGTGTCATTTAAGATTTTAGTACATTCCGATTTGGTACGAGTTTCGGAAACACGCTACATCTGCATTTTGTTGGATGTGCGGCGAACATCAGGACACATTCGACACGGAGCCGCCACCCTGAGCTGAGTCACCGTGACCCGTGGTTGGAGCTTCTCTAACTGCTGAGCTCATTCATTAATAAGTACTTGTTGATTACAGGAAAGCGACGAACCAGGAGGATCACAGAGGTGTGGCAGTAGGAGGAGGGAAATTGCTATTTTACCCCAAACGGACCGATCTATTGTTTATGTGTGTTTCTGACTGTAAATCTTAACATGTTGCATCAGCTGAGGTTGTTTTGAGATATTCGATCATATTTTGGAAGTTTTAAGGCTGGGTTTTAGGCCCTGTCCACACGTAGCTGGGGATCTGCCAAAACGTAGATATTTTTCTACATTTTGGCCTGTCATCCACACGAAAACAGAGTTTTTTTCACACGAAAACGGATCTTTTTAAAAACTCTGGCCAAAGTGAAGATCTGCGTTTTCTCCGTTTTGGGTGTCTGCGTGTGGACAGACAAAACCGGAGTGTTAAGGTCCGCAACGTCACTTTCCGCGACAAAAAAAATGCTGACATCACGTGTGCGACCTGTGTTTACACTAGCCGACAGCATGGATGCCCTCAGAGCTGCGCTCGCTTTATCAATTGTCCAAGCGCTTTTTGCTTGTTTGTTTTTGCAAGCGGAATTACTGCCCCTTGCGGAAGATCACAGACGAAGGATGAGGTTAAGAACGGGGGAAGTACTGCCGCCTACAGGTCTGGCATGTCCTTAACAACGTATTTATCCGGGTACGTGTGGACAGAGTTGTTTTTTTAAACGAGGTGGTGTGGATGCAAGTTTTTGGAGGGGCGGTTA